ACTGTGGAGGAGCTCTCTCTCCGTCCTGTGGCAAAAGTTCTCCTTTTAAAAACTTACCCAACTGCCAAAATTGTGCCAAGGACTGCCGAGCCAAGACCCTCCTTCAAAGGTTCCCCCACTAGATATGCCCGGCCTATGACCGATCTGGCCTGGGCACGGCCATTAAAGCGCCGAGGATCAGTCCTTGGCCGTTTCGAACCAGGCGAGTGGGAGGAGACCCGAAGCAGCAGAAGAGAAAGAAAACAATCCGGCTGTGGCGTTCCTTGGGCCTGTGGTGGGTGTCTGGGGTGGTATCGTGAGACCGGACTACATGGTGTAGGTTGCACCACTGAGACGAATCCATCCATCCATCCATCCATCACGCACTCAATGTCATGTATGTATGTGTCTATCTATGCAGGATGCCCGTTGGAGTGGCTCGAGACCATCCAGCCGGGCTCTCCATGCCTTATCAGTCGTGCGATCCGCGAGCTGATCTATTAGAATCTGCCGCCAGGCGCTTCTCATCCGTCCTCGAAGGGGAAAGGATGGACCACGCGATGCCACGGAATTCTTCTCGACCTTTTCTTGGCTCGCATGCTCGAGGGAGCCGTACTTCCGGATTGGCGCAGATGGATGGCTTAGGAGGGGTTCTTTTGGTAGGGCATAAGCATCGTAGGAAGACTTTGGGTTTCACAGGCCAAGGGAGAGGAAATCACGATCATGATGACATCGCAGCTCGTGTGGCGCTACCGGCCGAGTCGCAGAGGAAGGGCGGTCGCTTGATATCCACCTAGTGCTGGGTATTCCTTGCATGCTTATTCTACGGACCGCGTCTACTATGGAGGTGCTATCCCCAAGACAGGCTCACTAGCCCTCGGTCTGGCGCCACTGAGGGATTCAGAGCAATGGAAAGACGGCATTGGTGGATATGGAGAGATATGGTGGGAGATACGGTGGGAGATAGGGTGGGAGATGGAGGAGGGGCGGGTACACATGAGCCTCTGCATGCAAAAGAGGCAGGGCTTTTTGTCCCAGTCCCACCCCGGCCACAGAGGCGGCTGCTCGACTATGTGATGTTACTCTGTGCCATGTCCGGGCATGGGGCCTGGGCAACGACCAGCAGCGCTGCATGCAAAGTGCGGCAGTTGGTGTCGCGGCCAGCCAGACGGTCCCGAGGCGGTCCCAGTTCTCATGAAGCGTCTCATCTCAGCACGAGGATGACTTTGATCGCAATGATAATGGATGATCACAGACAATACAGCCTCAAGACTGACTCCGACCAGGATCATTGCGCCCGCCAATGGCAGGATCCTGCAGCCATGCTCATATTCTCCGTCTCGGGCGTGGGCCTCGCAAAATCAGTTGGCATCACGGATCGCCTGTCGCGTGGAGGTGGGCCCTGCCTGTAGTCAGTTTTGAGCAGGTCCCTTTGGACAATCTGCTTTGTCTGGTTAGTCCAGCAGCATGAAGGATGGGGTTGTGTTGCACGAATATGGACGCACTTTTGAACCCTGAGTCCCCCAACTCCTCTGGCCATTCACCAGATGGAAGGGCCTTGATACCCATCCCGGTTTAGGAAGTCGTCCGCTCTGTTTGGCAGGCCATTGGGTGGTTCCGTTTCGCGCCACTATCAACACTCGAGCGTCGTTGCGGGCAAAGGCACAACACCTGCGGCACCCTTGAGATAAGTGGATGCAACAACAAAGGTTCCCCTCGGCTGTGGCCATCCCATCTTTATTGTTCTTGCTTTCCTGATTGAGGAGACGAAACGTAGCGGTATCTCGCCTCGGGTGTCGCCGATTGGCCACCTTGACACCCTCTCTCTCCTCCCAGGATAATGGACATAGCGTGGCATCGCATCGCATGGCACGCAGCCCCGGTCGCACGAAACGGGCGAGTTTGCCAGACTTGTCCCTGCGTGCTTTAAGGTTGCGACGCAAGAAATATTTAATCTGTTTGATGCCCCGGTGGTCTGGGAGTCGGACGGAGAAGCGAGTGCTTTGCATCTGAAGCCCATTCCGACCCGTTTGCTGCTGCTTGCGTCTTCTGCACGCACAACCAGCTCGCCAATCATGGAACCCAGAATCGTTGAGGCTCAGGCAGAGCCTGCCATCGTCGGCGACGAGAAGGCACCCTCTGTTACCGCCAAGTCGGACAGCTCTGAGGAGAGCAACGACGAGATCACCGATCTCTTCGTCAGCTTCCCGCCCATCAAGGGCCGCGAGCCCGAGCAGAACCCTCTGACCATCCGTGCCGTCTTCATTGGTATCTGTCTCGGATCGCTTGTCAACGCCTCCAATGTCTATCTCGGTGAGTCCAAGCCAGGCTTTTCTAATAGACGCGGCATACTGACTCGGGAACAGGTTTGAAGACTGGTTTCACCTTCAGTGCCAACATGTTTGGTGCTATTTTCGGGTACGTTGTCGCGACATCTTCTCTCCTAGATAGTTTCGTTCTTGCTGACCTCTTCACAGATACGGTTTCGTTATCCTTCTCTGCAAGATCTTCCCGCACGTCCCCTATCTCGGCCAGTCCTTCGGTCCCCAGGAAAACTCCATCATCCAGGCCTCCGCCAGTGGTGCCGGTGGTCTCTCCGGCATGTTCGTCGCCGGTCTGCCTGCCATGTATCAGCTCGGTCTGCTCTCCGACGACCCCAAGAAGGACTTTGGCCGCACCCTGGCTATGACCTTTGTCTGCGGTTTCTTCGGTTTCTTCGCCGCCGTCCCTCTCCGAAAGTTCTTCATCATCAACGCCTCCCGTGAGCTGAACCTCGTCTTCCCCACTCCCGTCGCCGCGGCCATGGCCATCCGTTCCATGCACGCTGTCGGCAGCGGTGCCAGCGACGCCATCAAGAAGATCAAGGCTCTCGGCTACGCCTTCATCGGCGCCCTCGTCCACATCGTCGTTTCTCAGTACGCCGACGGCATCCTCCACAACTGGCACATCTTCAACTGGTTCTACATCTGGAGCGGATACTCGAACTGGGCCCTGAACATTGACAACTGGGGGTAAGTTGCTGCTCTTTCTCTTCCTCTTAACCCGGCACCCAGCATGAGTGACCGTCTGCTAACGCAAGATAATAGTTGGTACATTCAGCTCACCCCCGCCTTCTTCGGTTCCGGTATCCTCGTCGGTCTCAACGCTTCCCTCTCCTGGTTCTTCGGCACAGTGTTTGCCTGGGGATTCGTCGGCCCTCTGCTGATCAAGTACGGCGAGGCTGTTGGTACAAGAAACCCCAAGTTCGCCGGCACCATTTGGGAGGAGAAGACCAGCTTCAGCTCCATGACCGTCAAGGAAGGAGACTGGGTCCCCTCTCCTCGCTACTGGTTCCTCTGGCCCGGTGTCATGGTCCTCATCGTCTACAGCTTGGTCGAGTTCGTCCTGCAGTTCCGCGTCGTCGCCGGAGGTTTCATGTACGCCTTCCGCGAGACCGCTGCCAGCATCAACGCGCGCCTCCAGGCCAAGGGCAAGAACAACACCTTCCTTGAGAAGCAGGCCGCCAAGCTTGCCGGCATGACCGACCTTGTTGAGGACTTTGCCCCCAAGGACCAGCAGGTCCCCGGCTGGGTCTGGGTCGTCGGAACCGCCATCATGGCCGCCGTCGCCATGATTGTCTGCCACGTGCGCTTCGAGATGAACGCCGGCCTCGGTCTCCTCGCCTGTATCCTCGGTCTCATCTTCGCCTTCCTCAGCATCTACGGATCTGCCGTCACTGACTGCGCGCCCTACACTGCCTCCACCAAGGCCTCTCAGCTCGTCTTCGGTGGTATCACCAAGAACTCCGGCCTCAGCATCTCTGCGGCCCAGCGAATCAACCTGACAGCCGGTAACATCGCCGCCGGTACCGCCGACATCTCCAACACCCTGGTCAGCGACTTCCGCGTCGGCTTCCTCCTCCGCACCCCTCCCAACCTGCAGTTCTACGCCCAGGGACTCGGCGCCCTTGTTGCAGTCTTCCTCGCCCCCGGTATCTTCGTTCTCTTCATGTCGGCTTACCCCTGCGTGTGGGATCCGAACGTATCCGAGGAGGTTGCTGCCAAGTGCCCCTTCCTGGCCCCGTCCGTGACCGCCTGGAAGGCCGTCGCCGAGGCCGTCACCCTGCCCAGCCTGCCCATCACCAAGTCCTGCGGCATCTTCACCATCTGCATGGGCGTCCTGTGCGCCGTCCAGGCCGTCGTCAAGACCTTCTGGCTTACCGGCGAGCGCGAGAAGTACCGCGAGTACCTCCCCAACTGGATGTCCGTCGGTGTCGCCTGGGTTCTTGGCCCCGACTCCGGATATGGTGCGTATTTCTTGAATCGATTAATAATAATTATCTGAATTTTTGCTGACTCGTGTTATAGCCAATGCCATCATGTTCGGCAGTGTTACCGCCTGGTGGTGGAAGAAGTACTTCCCCCGTGGCTTCGACATCTACGCCTACTCGGTTGCCGCTGGTCTTATTGCCGGTGAGGGTCTCGCAGGTGTTATCAATGCCGCCCTCGAGTTGGGTGAGGTCTCTGGATCGTACTTTGGAACGACCATCGCCCTGCCTGGTTATTAATCAGCGAAGTTGAGGTGGTGATGATGATGACGGTGGTGGTGTTGGAGGCCGATGACTAAGCTTCAATATATCCCGTGACTCGGCCTGTGGTGGTTGATGAAGTCAATAATTAGGTAGTGCAGTGCAGTATATAATGAATGATACCAAATGTTATTTAATGCATTATATCTGATAAACTCTTATAATCTACTGGTTGAGTATTCTTGCATCATTCAAGCGTTGGTGGTGACTATTCGACAAGCGAACCATCTGCAGGCATTACATGTGCCTAATATATGCATGTAATCAGGCCGCCATGTTTCATCATAGATGCTGGCATTTGGGCCCAAGGCGTACATTCCAATACAAGGTTCTTTCATCCAACACTCATCAGTGACTCTTTTCAAGTTCGCTACCTAGGTAGTTTAAATCCCCCGACCAGGCCAAACCGCCAACGCCATTGATATCAGCCAAAATAAGCCCTCCTAATCCCAAAATGACTGCAATCAATGGGAGTAGCTCTGCCCCTCTTGAGGACCAGGCGGAGGAAGATACGTATCATCTGATTGCGCCTCGACTCCCGCAGAAGAGGGATGAAAACAAACCGTCGCTGAACAGCCTGGAAATGGAGCTGATCCTGATGATTTTTAAGATCGTCCACCGCGAGAGTCCGGCATCACTCAAAAGCCTGGCGCTCGTCAGCTCCCACTACCACCACGCAGCACGCTACTGCCAGAATCAGCAGGTTCACCTTGATATTTCAAGGGAGAAGAAGGATGTCCTCCAAAGGCGTCTGGCCCACATAGAGAAGGGCGGCTTTCTGCCTGCCATCCGGCGCATCAAGGTCCGCGGCGTCGAGGACGACCTTGAAAACATCGAGGCCGTGGCGCAGCTCTTGCAGAAGGCCACTGGGCTGAGGGATCTGGATTGGGCCAACAGAGGAGCGCCCGATTCCTCCATCGGCGTGCCTGAGCAGGTCCTCACTGCCATCCAGTCCAGAAGCACCGTACGCCTCCACACTGATGCCGTTCTGAATTACTGCCGTTTCCCCTCCATGGTGCCGCCTCCCCCATACACGGCGCCGCTTGCAAGAGGAAGCGAGAATTTGCATTCGCTTAGGATGCGCTTCACCTACGTAAGCGTGGAGCGCTGTCTTGAGGTGGTCCAGAATGTGAGGGACATACTCTTGTCGAGCCCCAACATCCGGAAGCTCGTCGTTGACTATGGTCGACCGAACAGTGGGTGTGTCCGTTACGGGCCACCAAAGGAATATATCGGGTTCGGATTTGTTGATGGGCAACGTCCATCAGCGCTCGAAGAGCTCAAGTTGGGCAAGTACATCTTTGGGTCGACTACATCAGAACCCGGAAGTGTGTTCCCCGCAATGAATGTTGGCTACCCAGGCAAAGGTGAAGAGGAAGACTACTGGGTCGAGACGTTCGACTGGTCACGACTACGGAAGTTGGAGACTGAACAGCACGCGTTTGCGCTTCGGGTGGCGCCAAAGCTGTCCGCCCTCGAGGAGGCATCACTTGGCGTGGTCAAGGATCCGAAATTCATACGAGAGTTCTATGATACGGTCCCTAATGTCCTGCGCTCTATCGAGATCCACCAGTTCGATGCTCTAGGCGTTGACGGCATCATCAGACACGGGTCTGAGCTGAGACGGCTTGGTGTTCATCAAATACAGGCACACGATTGGCCAGAACATACGATCGACGCAGCATCTCTGCTCGAAATCCAGAAGGCGTGCCCTCTTATCGAAGTGCTAGTTCTCGACATCAAGAGGGAGGGTGACTGGCCCTACGAAATCCTGGACATCCTAGCAGGGTTCAGGAACCTTCGACGCTTGACCATATGGTTTGAGCTGGGCTGGGTGGGCCACAAGCCGTTCAATGTCGTCCAGCCTGCTGTCACTTACTCTGCCGTTGAGACGCTCTTCACCTATCTCAACTCAAAACGCCCACCAGACTCCAAGCCACTGAAGGAGATGAAGGTATACTGCGGCTGTCCGCGGCCTATTAGGGGGTATCCCTCGTCAGCAGGACTTTGGCCGCGCAACAATACATCCAGCTATATCTGCCGGCTCTCTGAGCGAGATGACGAAGCACCGAATGGCGTGTTTCGTATTACCTGTCCCATGTTGACCGATGATGAGAATATACTACTTCATAAGATAAGGACTGAGAACTTGGAGGTGCCTAAACAGCAGAGGACGGCTCTGGCCGTGGTGTTAAATGGGCCGATTCCGTTTACTGGCAGGGATATGCTATGATGTGGAAGAGGAAAGTCTGCTAGTTCGATCAACGGGGTTTTTTCTTGATGATGCTGTGCTGGACGGCAAACTGGAACAACTGGATTACTGTATGCGTGCTTCATGAAATTCAAATGATCTTTATGCTATACTGTTTTTGGATTTGTCCATCTAATGCTAGAGATAGGGAAGTAGGCTGAATTCGAGAGTTGACCTAGGCATATTGGGATACTATCGCAATGTGCATCGCACGCGTAGCTCCGATCCCTATAGCTCCCATACCCTTTCCTTCTTCTTTTGCTTTCACAATATTCCAGTCACGAGTGCCTAGTGGTATACTCTTTTTTCCCATATGGGAGGGCGTGCACTGGCAGTATCCCATATTATCTTGTTCTTTTCGTCTAGTGTGCACCCTTCATCTGTGATTGGGATCACCTTGCTTGTCTGTGCAATCTCTCGCTTTGACACACCTGCGGCGTCTTCCGGAATCCAGAGCAGAGGAACGGGGCTTGATACCGATGGAGGCCAGTAGGGACTGTAAGATGAGGAGTTTCCAGAAGACTCCTCGGGGATGGGGACTTCAAAGATGTTGTTGTGAACCATCAGCTTGCGCAGCGTCCAGTAGTCCGAGAATTCCCAGGGCTTGAGAAACTTGACGAGAAAGGACCCGCCCTGCTTTTGGACTTTCTTGTCACTGGGATATGAGTTGATCTTCCTTGGCTTGGGGCGTGTTCGGCTCGTCAATGTCTGACTGGTCCAGCCTTGATTTAGCTTCGGGCGTTCTCCAGTAGCGAATGAATGGGCTCGCTTGGCCTTCTCTTCCTCTGCTTGCAATGTGCGAGGTATATTGTACAGCAAAGGGTTCAAAGCCCTGCCAAGAGAGATCTGATAGAGAATCGAGAACACAAGGAGGGCGATGATGAGTCCGGCCTGCGCGAAGGCTTTGCTGACGAGGAACATGCCGATGAGGCAGACTTCGGCGAGATAGATACCTGCAAACAACTGCTTGAGAGCTTTTGGGTACATTAATCCGCGAGTATCTACCTCGACAGAGGCAACAAATAGCACATTGTATCTGTAGGATTGATAAAAAATCCCGATGCCAATGGTCGACCAGATAAGCAGAAAAGGAGCAATGACAGCATAAGTGATACCTAGTCGTCGAGAATTAATATTGATGCCTTTTCACTGCGTTATTAAGCTGATTCTCAACTTACTGATCACGACTATGCCCGTGTAAATGGGTAGAGTACCGCCCCATGAAATTGGCGTCAGCGTTGTCCACTTCTTATACATGGAGCGAGGCGTCCGTAAGAAAAGCCGATAGACTAGATTGAACACCAAACACCCAACAACTTGGGTTGTGACATCGACCGCAATGGCGAGACCCTCGACAATGAAGTAGGCCATGTAGAAGTTGGATGATGTTGGGAGCGCCTCGGCCAACACACCAAAGACTCGTGTTGGATTTTGCACAATCTGGATGATGGCCGTCGCCGCTGTGTCGGTAATGGTTCGTATTAGGAACACCTGGACCAGCTGAAACATGAAGAAGCCGCTCTGGGTGAACAGTTCAATCTCGGCGCGTGAGACTAGACCGGAGAAACGGGCGCAAAAGCGCAGGATGCCTGGCACCAGTGACATGATATACGCAAGGGCAGCAGAAGGTAAAAGACCAGAGATGACACCGAGTATTTTCTGAAAAGAATCTTCACGTCAGAAAAGGTAAATGAGAGAATATGGGAAGCACTGACGTCTGGTATATCCTTGATCCACGTCAAACCCGGGAGTGATTGAAGAACATTGACTTGCGCAATGATACCGAAGATACCGACGGGGATCGCCCACCATATGATTAACGCAGCAATAACAGCATATACAATATACTCGCGGATAAGGAGCTGCCACCATGGAATTGTCATATTGGTCCATATAATTTCCTCAGGTCGAATCCCAATATACTTTGGTGCCATAGACAACGCATGGTGGTGCGTGACGACTTGGAAGGCGGTCTCAGCGTCCGACTGCTTCTGAAATTCAACAAAGACGGCGGGTATCTTCTTGAAATTCCCATCTCGCCACATCTCCTGGGCAGCTTCCGACAGAGGAATTAGTGTTTCTAGTTTAGATCGACACCAGTCTATCGTATCAACCTTTTTTCCAAACAGGCCCAAGGGACCAAGACGGTGAGATGGACGCAGCGCGTTGATATGCTCAGCGAATGTATCCTGTCTTTCTTGGTCGTGGTATTGGTAGGAGGTAGATATAGATTCAGCAGATTTCTTAGCCATTTTTGTGCGGTGCTTGTTGACCCTCTTGATCAATGTTACCTCGCTCCTTTCGAGCATCATAGCCACTTGGTCTCGTTTCTGCACAAGCTTGTCAAGGCTCTGTGAATTCCCACCGAGCCAAATGTCCCTCACCACATCGGTGCCAAAGATCTCACGAATCCGGGTCTCATTAAGATACTCATCAGGAACACATGTAAATAACACTGTTCGTGATGATGGCCGGCTAGTTGACTGGTCATTCAAAAGGTATGCTTGGCGGATGTTGATATAAAAGATGCATTCTCGTGTGATCATGTACATGACAAACCCGTAGACAAGCCACGCAAGCAGCGCATGAGCGAACAGGCGGTTCTTGTTGGTCTCGATATTAATGTTACTGTAGGAAATGACCTCAAGTTGGGACTTGCCGTTACCGCCCGTGGCGTGTATGGGAAGAAGAATAGGCCAAGTTATGCACATAGAAACGAAGCAGATAGTGGTGCAGACGCGAAGATAACGGAGGAAGAGGTAAGCGTCTAAGCTTTGATGCTTGAGAGCGTAGACATCAGGGATCTTTGAGAAGGTGCTGATCCAGCTGAAGAGGCCGTCTGGCAGCTCAGGATTGCGCTCACTAATGGCCAATTTGGTAAGTAAGACTGCCATTAGGAAATAATGCTATGGGAAGGGGGCCTACTGATCTTGGAGGGAACCGAGGTGTATTCGAGGAGCGTAGAAGCGTCTCTGTGCTCGCCTGGTCGACAGGAATACCACTAGGGAAATGATCGCAACAATAATCATGGGAACTAGCGTGTTAATCATGCCTGATCCAGTGAATCGAAGTCAGCTTTCTCATATCAATCATTCTCTTTTGTTCGTTCTCGTATTGTCAGTCCTAGGCAGCTAACTCACCAGCCAATGATTGTGGTTGGTTCTCTTCTCTCGCTTCACCCTGTCTTTCATCCTGCCCAATATTTGACAGGATCCAGCTGATTACATTCCCCATGATGCCTGATTTTACCTTTATGTCCTGTCTCGGTGGAAAGCATATACTAAGGTGAAAAATGAATATCGCTACGGAAGACACTTGAATTAGGGAGACGAGCAACATGCACCATATTTAGACAGCCAAGGCATTTTTTTAGACAGCCAAGGCTTTGATCTCATGTCAACGGCCTCTCGCGTTCTCCTCTGCAACAGCATCTCAATTCATGGAATCTTGTAAGACATTGAAGGCGGTCAAGATCGGTCTTCGTTTACTTTACGCATGACCACCCGGCTCGAGCTTTGAATATTAAGACACGCAGGACGCTAGGGGTGAACCTGATGCTAAGATAGGCTGAGGACCAACAGGGCAATTCAGCTATCCTCAGCCACATCGACATTAGCTGTACGGAAGATCCCGAATGGTGCAAGATATGTCTCGTTGCCAATATGATCAGTCAACTAAAGCACCTCGTGACGCGTAATCCGGTCGAGACCATCCTCCGTCGGGCTTAACAATGTTATCCGGGCTCGCAGTATGACTTTTTTCCCCATATAATTAACGCTGGAGGTTGGAAATTCATCATCGTCATGTTGGATCCTCAGTAGCAAGTAGAGGACGGAATAGCATCATATGTCTACTACATCGAGATGGGATTTGAAAGAGTATGAATTATCCAAATTGAATTAGTTATTGAGCAAATAAATATTTACTTTTCCCTTTACTCCATGACCAAAACGTTCCTGAACCGAGGCTTGCCAGCGACGAGGCTATCAATGGCGGCTTTGACATCTTTGAAGGAGTATCGCTCAACCATGCACTTAATACCATGGGCTTTTGCGAATCGAATGGCCTCCTCGGAATCTAACGCGTGACCAGAGGGCCAGCCATGGACAGATAGGCCATTCAACACCAATGACGCAGTATCAATCTCAACATTGCCAACAGGAGCAAGACATAAAAGCTTCCCACCCGGTGTGAGACCCTTGATAAGCCCGCTCACAACCTCGGGGTTTGGAGCCGTTTGAACAATTAATTCGGCACCGCCAAGCTTCTTCAGCTGAGCCGAGGCGTCATCCTTCTTGGTATCGATGTAATGATGAGCACCTAGCTCCCGAGCGAAGCTCTCTTTGTCAGACCCACGAGACAAGGCTACCACCTCATAGCCCATATGGCGCGCATACTGGACGGCTAGATGGCCCAGCCCGCCGAGGCCCTGGACGGCAACGAGAGCGCCCTGCTCAACATGCATCTTGCGGATGCCGTTGAACACAGTCACGCCCGCGCACAGGAGCGGCGCGGCATCGACCGGGTTGATATCCTTGGGGATGCGGACGATAGCCTCCTCCCTCAAGAGGACATACTCGGCCCACCCGCCGTCTCGCGTCACGCCGTTGATCTCCTTGTTGTCGCACGTCTGGTACAGGCTGCGCTGGCACTGACGACAGACGCGATCGTGGCCACCGTGCCATGGGCCACCGACACGCTCACCGCCCTTGAAAGAGGTGATGTCAGGTCCGACGGCGACCACGTCTCCGACGATTTCGTGGCCCGGGACGCGGGGGAAGAGGTCAGTGCCCATTTCTCCGCGGGAGATGGCAACATCGGAGAAGCAGACACCGCAGGCAATGACTTTCACGAGGACCTGCCCCTTGCTGGGACGTTTGAGCTCAACATCTTGGATCTTCACCTCGGCTTTGGGTCCAGTGAAGACAGCAGCCTTGTAGGATTTTGGGAGAGACGACATCTTGGCTAAGAGATGAATATGTACTGGAAACTGATGAAAGATTGATTTGTTGTTAGCTAATTATAGCCCTTTCAATCAGAACAATTGACACGACGGACGACCCTGTAGAGGTCCTCAAGAGGGCGGTCGTATTTATAGATGGCCTGGAACACCTCATTTGGTTACTTGCATTCCAACGCCCGCTTTCTGGATGTCTCGGAAGCGAAGGTTTCCCCTCGCGAAAGGTACGACGACTCCATGACATCAGAAATGTGATGATGTCGTTGATACTATTGCCTGCCGCCTGAGGGTGGGGAAAACTAACAAAGCGACTTATCTAAGGCCACTAAATCCCATTGATTTGTTGAATAATCCAGAAGCTTTAAGCAGATTTTATGTATTTTTAAGATAAGAAAGACAATGTAGTACATTTTAGGCAATAAGAGACGGGTGGTGCCGTTAAGCACAAGTAGTACCCAGCCCATCATTAACTCTGTGTTAATCCATTCATTCGCTTAGCCTGGGCTTCGTTGATGGCTCCCGTGGCGGATTTGGATATGCTGCTGAAGTAAGTTGTAAGACGCTGTATTATCATGCTTTTGTTATGTAACTCTACCGGAATCCTAGAAGCATATATCGGCATCCTGTTATTTCAAGTATGCGTATCTTCCACGCCCCTTTTAAAAGATCAAATTCTCGACATGGGCTTGATGTATCTATCATAAATAGCTATGGATATCTTGGCTCATCAGTAGGCGTGATACGTATTGTTCCTTGTCGGCCCCTTCTTGTCTTTAATAAATTATTCCTTCTTTTTAACAAGTCTTGTAACTTGAAAGGATATATAGGCCTCCTTATATCTGGAGCAAGATGCTATCTATATTTGGAGGGGCGCGCAGAACGGTGAGGAGGGCAAAGAAAGGAGCGGATCTACCCGAAATTGTTCTCCCAAATATAGTGTATATATCAACATAGGAGGGGAACCAAGGAAAACAACCTCTTCTCCCAAAAGGAGTGACCAAGTAGTAAGCTAGAAATAATCCATAAAGCTCAAAAACATTTTTTACGTGTAGAAGATCCGCTAACTCTCATATATTTGCTGAAAAAGAGCAAATTAAAATCGAATTAAACACTGACAAACTGTTCGACGAGAGAAGCGTAGATATGGCCGAAATTCGAATGGGAGCAACGATGAGCATCAAGCTGGTGCTTAGCCTAGGGTAGTTGGCTACAAGTGCAACAGCCACAATAGACCCTAGCCACAGTTTAGAGCTCCAGCCACAGAAGGCTCGACCCCACCAAGAGAAATTCCTTGACTTTTTCAAAGCTTCAAGAAATGTTCCTTGATTGATCTGCCATTCCACGCCAATCCAAACATCCACGCGTTTCCACAGGCTTCACTCCGCGCAGCCATGCCTCTAGACACGTCTACCTACTCACTTGCGCTCTTGCGCGTCGACGGCCGTCGCTGGAATGAGCTCCGTCGCCTGCACGCCCAGATCCGCATCCAGGCCGCCGCCGATGGCTCTTCTTACCTCGAGATGGGCAACACGAAGGTCATGTGCGTCCTGACCGGGCCCTCGGAGCCCCAGCAGCAGCAGCAGGGACAGCGACGAGGGCAGGCCACCGCCGGCGGAGGAAAAGACGCCGCCATCAACGTCAGTATCGTCGTGGCTGGCTTCGCCTCCGTGGACCACAAGAAGCGCGGACGCAATGACAAGTGAGTAGCCTATCTCTGCTTAAATTCCTGGGGTTTCCCTTTCTTTGGAGAATGCTAATCGAAACAAGGCGGACCCAAGAGCTCGAGCTTATAATCGCAAAGACTTTCGCCTCGGTCGCCCACACTCATCTCTTCCCCCACTCAAGCATCTCTCTCGCCCTCCACGTTCTTTCTGCCGACGGTTCCCTCCTCGCCGCCCTTCTGAACGCTGCGACACTCGCGCTCATCGATGCCGGTATCCCAATGTCCGACTACATTGCCGCATGCACCGCCGGATCTACATCTTCCTACGCTGCCGCCGACGACTCGGCCGATCCTCTACTCGATCTGAATACACAAGAAGAGCAGGAACTGCCCTTCATTACGGTAGCTACCCTCGGTGAAACCGACCGTGTTGCCGTTCTCAACTGCGAAAGCCGAGTACAGGTCAGCCGCCTGGAGGGTATGCTTGCTGTCGCTGTCGACGGGTGCAAGGAGGTCAAGCAGCTTCTCGACAAGGCTATCAAGGCCAAGGGCGCCAAGATGATCCGCGAAGGCGCCGCTGAGAAGAGTGATGCCATGGCCATGGATCTGGACGAGTGAAGTAGCTACTAGTATGGTAGCTGCACTGCATGTTCGAACGAATGAGTGTGATGAGTAAATCAATTGGTAGGTTACATTCCTTTCTGGCTGCTACGAACACTACATTTTTACGACCTTAACTTCACCTTATTTAACCGTCCAATTTTCTCACACTCATTTTTTAGTTTAATATCCCATTTCCGAATCTGCGCTACAGCTCCTCGTGGGTGATCTTCTCGTCGGCCTTGGCTTCTTCGGTCTTGGCCTCCTTCTCGGATTCTGTAGCGGAAGATGCAGGCTCGTCCTTCTCTGGCAAATCGACAATCACCTCCTTGGGCAGCTTCTTCTTCTCGCCGTCACCGAGACGGACGGCATCCAGCCAGGCCTCGACGCTCTGGAGATCAAAGTCTCCCTCGTACTGTTTCCACCACTTTCTCTTGGCATTGACGGCAATGAGCTCGACTTCGCTGGTAAGACCAAGGGAGGATTTGAGAGAAGAGACGCCTTCGACTTCGCTCGAGAGGGAGAAGAAGGGGAACAGTGGGCGGTGGCTCTGGTGGTACTTTGTGTTGAGCTCGGAAACGGCCTTGAGCACCTTGTCTCCATTCTCGGAGGCTCCGGCTGGGATGTTGACAATAAGACAGGCGGCTGCCTTGCGGTGGAGGCAGTTTTCGACAAGCTGTTCGTTGGAAGTGATGTGAGGGATAGAAATGATCGTGGACTCGGCCTTTGCGCTTTCGGTGGAGGACGACGACTCGGCAGTTTCCTCGGACTTGGTCGATGAGGAAGTTGAAGAGGACTTGGGCTCCTTCTTTTCCTTCTTCTCCTTCTTGTCGGCCTTGGCCTTGGACTTGGCTGGTGCGGGATCAGGGTTGGGTTCGCCGGCCTGCTTCAGGAACGCGACAATGTCCTTCTTGTTAAGCTCGCCTTCGTAAACGATAGGTTCGGCGTCGCTGTCGGCTGGGATGAGGACTAGTGTAGGGAACTTCTGAATGCCATACTTCTCTACCGCCTTGGTCTCCTTGCTGCGAATCTGAGCTACGTTGATGACACCCATGAAGTCAATCGCGACGCTCCTCAAGAGGGCACTGGTAGTTCCCTTCTCTGTGAATAGTATAGCATCGGGACCCTCCTTGGCGACAAACTCCTCGAAATCGGAGTCGGTAAGGCGGGTGACGTGGTTGTTGATCTTATCGGCGACGGCCTGGGCAATGCCGTTGGCGGTACGGGGACCCTGGTAGTCCTCGACGATGGGCTTGCTGCCTGGTTTCTTTCCAGGTCGGAAGGTCTTGAGTGTGGGGAAGCCCTGGATGCCATGGGCGCCGCAGAGGGGCTTGTTGGAGTCTTCGTCGCAGTTGACGGCGACTACCTTGGCGAGGCCGTCGAGGTCCTTGGCGGCTTTCTCGTAGGCGGGCTTGAGGTTCTGGCAGTGGCCGCACCAGGGGGCGTAGAACTCGACAATCTAATTGGAGGGAAGAGGGGAGCAGGTTAGCTTCTGATTGACCATTGGGCCGTGGTGGGTATTGAATTGAGCTCGGATTGGATTGGGGACATGTTTAGTAGTAAGTAGGCAATTGACTTACAGAGGTGTGGTTCGACTTGGAGACAATGCTGTCAAAGTTCTTTGCATCGGCCTGGATGACAGGCGAGGACTTGGTGTAGATCCCGGCCTGGACGGCAGGGACCGACACAAGCGCAGCCGCGAGGGCTGTGATGAGGGACTGTTGATGCATGGGTAGGTGGTGATGTTTAGCGTTGGTGGTGGGTGATTTTGGGGAAAGAAAATCAACCGGGTTGGAGGAATCGACCTGGGATAAATAAATACGCAGTGCCTGATCTCAATGAGGACGTAAAGACAGGTGTCAATAGAAACAAAGAGGCCACTGTGAAGGTTGTCGGGAAGACAGGCCGAGGGGGTGGTAGCCAGGGAAAAAGGCCACGCTGGAAGAATGAAACAGCAGCTGGTGGCTTCAACGTGAGGCGAGGCAACCTGGAACTTTAGTTGTCCGGTCGCTCTTGCTGTTCCTGTCATACTGCGCTGCCCGCTGTGGCGCGAGCTGGAGCGGGGCAGAAACTGTGGCGTATCCAAGCAACACCAGCCACAGGGCGCCATCACCAGGCCCCAGGATGGATGATTTTAGCTTGTGGCGACCTGCGGGGTGCGTCATTCTGCCTGGGTGCTCGTGCCGGTGCGAGCTGCCTAAGGAAACACCTCCAGATTCCATATCACCCCCATTGCAACACAGTCCTCGGGCACGCGCGATACAGCTTCCAAATCTCCCACCGCTGCTGCCACCGACCGCCAGACTTTGGCGGGTGCATCGCAACGATGGTTCAGCCACTCCCCGCCTCCCTCAAGATCCCTGAGGTCTATCGCTTCGTCAATCGCGCCAACCAGCTGCGCAATATCAAGCCCGCCATTGCCTACTGGTGTTCGTCGCATATCCATTCCCCTAGTCGCCGTTACGATTAATTGACTGACAACTCTCTCCCGTTTAGGCGAGTACCATGCTGTGAACCAGATCGTTGCCAAGGGCATCCATACGAGCGACGACGACGCATACGCCTACACCAAGTATCTGCTTGAGAACCTCGAGAAGACCAAGACCGAACACCCTGACGATGATTCCATTGTCGACAACGATGCCGCCCAGGCCTATGTCGAGATGTTCGCCCAGGAGACCCTGGATCGAGCTGGGCGAACCATGCGCGCCAACAGCGTTACGAGGACGACTGCGGACACGTTTGAAGCTGCCGCGACATTCTTCGACCTTCTCAGTGAGTGGGGGCAAATCGACCCGGAGGTTACGCAGAAGATCAAGTATGCCAAATACCACGCAGCTCGCATTCTCAAGGCGATTCGGGAGGGACGTGATCCGAACGAAACCAATCCCAAGGAGAAGCCGGCGGAGGAGGACGTGCTGGACGAGACCCTGATGCAGGATATTGTGCCGACAGGAACTGCTCCTCAGCCCGTATCTGTGCAAGATGTGCCTGATGCTGGCGAGCCCTCGCCGCTTGAGCCCTCGCCCCCGGCAACGCAAACCGCCTCAGTCTCAGATGGATACTTCCCTCCCGTCCCTTCGAATATTCCTGCCGACCTGGCCAGTCCGTCAGCCCCAACCGCGACACCTCCACCCCAAGGTCCTCCTTCAGAACGAATTGTGCCTATCCCATCGCCTCATGCACCTCCTACAGTCCCCTCGCAATTTGCGCCAACGTCACCATCTGTGCCGCACTCAGAGCCAACTGCACCTCCGTTATGGTCCACGACGGCTTCCACACCCTCAAATCCTTCTGTCCCACCTCCAATCCCCAGTCCCCAACAAGCTCCATACATCCCACAGCAACCTCCTGCCTTTTCTCAACAACCTGCGGCTTTCACTCAACCGTCACAGCCTCCCTTTGTGCCCGCAAACCCCACAACCTTTTCACCCGTTCCCCCTCCTCAACCACCAGTAGCTCCTGCGCCAGTCCCAGCTGCAGTCCACTACAAGGACATAAATCAAGCTCAAAAGCACGCCAAGTTTGCCATATCGGCTCTGAACTTCGATGATGTGCCTACTGCTGTTGCGGAGCTGCGCAAAGCACTTGCTGCGTTAGGGACGCAGTAGTTGACTGGAACTCGAGAGGAATCACTTGTTTATATAGCAATACCACTAGCCGGCCTGATATATATTACATTTCCTTATTTAAGTTATTAGGCTAGATATGATATCGACTGACCTACCCGGCCGAACCGCGCCGCCCATGCAATTCGATGCTAAAGATGCTCTATTGTAGTGGTTAAGAACGTAACGGGAAGAAGGCGGGACGAGAGACCAGACATAGGTACTCAATTGAGCGCAACAGTGCCAAACATGTGTCGAGCTTTCACTACCCAAGATTTCTGAACAAAGGAGTGAATGGTGTCGTGTGTACGATTTATTGCGAGATCCTGTGTCCTAGTAGGCGCTCAGACACCAATGACTGCCACCCTTGCATATCTGGCAGTTGGACTTGACAAGATTCAACTCAATGACATAATGAAATCAAATTGGAAAGGAAATTTAGGACACGATCTTGGTCTCTGTTTGTATTGCTATCTGCTTAGATGATAAGTGAAAACATGATTTCAAGCAAACACATATTTATTCCTTCTATTTGTCACCTCGCACCCATAATGCGCCGATTAACGAATTTGACGTGACCTCTTTGGTATTTAACAAAGTCTTAATGAGGAAAATCTGTCGGACCGAAGTTCACTCTAGTAGCCCTTCTTCTTGCAGTAATTGTAGAGAGCAGGCATTTGCCTTGGAGAATCGGACTTGCAAAGCTGCTCGTCATTTTGACGAGACTCAAGGTGTCCCGTCTCTTGGCAGGCTGCAGCGAGAGCGGGGATGTATTGGATAGCTTCGGTCTTGCAGAGCCCCTCGATGCCATCCTCCACCACCTGGCGGGCGCCGAGACCGCCGAGGAGGTCTTGGTCCTTGCATGCTTGGGCAAGACCGGGAATGTACTTGGGCGCCTCGGACATGCAGAGCTCCTCGATCCCCTCCTCAATTACTTGACGGGAGTCGAGATGGCCCTCATCTTGGCAGGCTTTGGCGAGGCCGGGGATGTATTTGGGAGCTTCGGACTTGCAGAGCTCCTCGATGCCTTCCTCGGTGACTTGACGGGAGCTGAGCAGCCCTGCCTTTTTGCAGGCCGCAGCAAGAGCAGGGATGTATTTCGGAGCCGGGCCCTTGCAGAGCTTTGTGATCCCTTCCTCAACGACTTGGCGGGATACGAGAGAGTCCGATGTGATTTGAGGAGCGGCGAGCCCTCCTGCTACCAAGCAAAGAGAGACAACGGAAGACGAGAACTTCATGGTGAATATAACTGCGGAGGATTACAATGGCTTGAAGCGTAGTGTGAGTATGATAATATAGAGGTGAGATGGATTGGATCTTGTATCTTGCCGGAACTAGGAGCATTTTAAATCCTCATTGAACCCCTTATGTCTTTAGCAAGCGTGAGAATACAGCCTAGTAGCTTAGATTCAGATAAATAGAAAGACGTCATTATGTCTGAGGACGAGTGGCTGACGCGAAACAAACATGACAGGATTGTCTCAACTCCAAGACATATGGTGCGGCTGTGGCAAGCCATAGTTTACCAAGACTATGGAATCGAATAACGTATGAACTGTAAACTCATTCCAATTGACCCAAGGGAAATGGGGAACACGGAATCCTCGAGACAGCTCCGCCTGGTAGTTCAGAAACATTCGTAGTCCATGCTACAAATTAGGTATAAGCCTCGAACTTAGTGAGACATATCAGGCCCCATCGCCGTGGTTCGGGGCTACTTTTGTAGGCTGATCTGCAAAAGTGAGGCGCTGTTTAATTAGAACCGTGAAGGGTCCGCGGTGTCTGGGATGTGTAGGCCAGTGCGCTTATTCCAATATCAATGACCACAACTTTATGCATAGAAGATTCTGAAAACCACATGACTCTCGGCTGTGTACCAATGACGTATTTGTTGAATATTTCATATCTAAGTCTTGTAGATTGATTCGTGATAAACCGGGAATATGTTAGAGACCCATGGTTTAGCACTCTCCTTATTGTCTAGGAACATGATTTACTTGACGGATCAACCGACAAGGGCTGTTGAGGCGATACAGCGTAAGAGAATGAAGTGTTGTGTTGTCCTCGTCGGGCTTAATCTTGTATCTAGTTCTATTGTTGTTAGAATGCCCAAGGGCCACCTCTTTTTGACTTGTTACGAACTGTTCAATCTTGGACTTGTTCTATTCAATGGCTGCTCGACTGGCCTTTGGAGACAAAATCTTAGAGCATTTGATTCACTACATAGTAGCCTTTAGCGATTAGATCTCCCCATTGATGTATTCATTAGAACGGCCATTGGCCTTGACAGAAGTGCAGTGCTGCTCAATGACTCACTAACACCGTGGCCGCCCTCTCGGTCTTCGTAGAATAACACGGGCGCTCCTACTTCTTGGACCCGTGCTGCTAATTTTATCGCATGGCCAGGCCTTACTCGGTCATCAGGTGTAGAAAATGTAATGAGAAACGGGGGATAATTAACATCCTCCCTTCCACTATGAAAGGGCGAGTATCCGAGTAGAGCTTCTGCCATTCTACGATCTTCTGGATCGCCATACTCGTCCACCCAGGCAGCACCCATCCTCATTTTTGGATATCTCAACATATCCGTCATTGGAACGTCACTGAAGATAGCCCCAAACAGATCAGGCCATTGTTCCCACCACAGAAGCGAGGAGGCCCCCGTTTGACCTTCCAAAGAACCTGAGTCGACATAAGGTGGCCATACTCATCTGGACTGAGGTTAGAGGTCACATAGCGTTGAACTAAGAATTGGAAGAAAATATGTTTTAATTTGTACAAATGTAGCCGGAATCATGTTCCCGAGCCACACGCGCTTATGATGATATTCTATGAAGATGTATGAGGTCGTGTATAATATGCAGCTAATAAAACAACAGGAAGACGATTTTTCGTCCACTTTTCTGTGTGGACATCTCGCGTTATTCTAGCAATCCCTCTGATGCGGTTGATCGCCGCCGGCTCGACGAAGCATCGTCCCGGGAAGGTCCTGCCTTGTTGGGAGGAGTTGCTTCGATATGAACCGAGTAGGAGTGGCCCTCTAGGAAGGATAGAGAGCCGTCTTTGAAGGACATCGATGAGTCTGTGTTGGCACGGCTAAGCCGCGGAGTAGCGACTACGGGGGGCGATGGTGCCCGTACATTGGTCAGCTCAACTGTCTTGGTGACGGTGGCCCAAGGTTTTTGCACACTTTCTTCTTTCACAGTAGCAAGTGTCGAGTTGGTATCTCTGTTCCCACTGAATCCTCGGGTGTGGGAGGGAGATGGATTGGGCGTTTGGATCTTGCCACTTGATTTGGCGATCTTTGCAATCAAAGTGGCCATCGACATTTCGATGTTGAGTTTGACGATATAAGCCAGTGGGTGGAATTGCATATACCTAGAAGCGAGACATCGAGATTAGACATATGTATGAAATTGCATAGCCGGCAAAGTCTTTGAACCTACACAAACGTATTTCTCAGGCTCATCATGCTAATAATAAGGATATCCATGCTGAGGGAGAAGCCGATGATGAGCATATTGAATCGCACAAGATTGTTGTACTTTTGAAGGCCATTGTCCACTAGGTTTTTCTTGACGATTCGGATAAAAAGGATATTAAGACAGCCATCCACAAGGAGGTATATGATCTTTTCGGTGCGATCCCAATACTCGTTGATATGGACGTACTCATCGGAAATCTGCAGCCGCGCAGGAATCCATATGCAGTAGACTGTGATATTGATTGTGGTGATGAGCGCGGCGACTCCCCATTTTAGTCGATTGATCTTGACTTTGTCCCTCCATAGAATTGCGCATCGGTTGATGATGATCTGAAGCAGAAATTGTACTTGGAGAGCCCATGTAGTTACTTGAAACTATCGTTAGCAAGCTGAGAAGCCAAGGATAGAATCGGCAACATGTGATCAGCCGGAACTTACAAATGCAAAAATAGAAAGCAAAGCTACACCCATAGTTAGCTTAATGATAGTTGAAAAGCAGAGAGGAGCAGATGCTCTATAGGATCTCACCTAGGAGGGATCGCTCCTAGCAAATACATGAAGCATATGATGCCGAAAGCCAAGCAGACGGCTATCTCTCCCCAGATCATGATGACATAAGGGTTAGCTACTCCCCGCCAACCGCGCCGGCGAACGACGCTCGCCGTCTGAACGATGGCCGTCCATGATGCTAACCAGCCAATGCCCAGAGTGAAACCCCACGCGAGAGATGCAATGATGAGATCTTGCTGGGTCACCGGTTCTGGAACATATCGATCGGGTATTAGGGTGATCATTCCGACGCGCTCTGTGAGGAAAAGAGTCCTATAACATCATGGGGAGGAGCGGTGATGAGAGCAAGGTTGAGACAAGGAAATCTGGGAAGTTTAAAAGAAATCATATGAAACGGAATGGGAGAGGCAAAAAGTCTGGAAACCGGCAGTCTGCTTTGGTTATAGCGTTGAGAGGATGACGAGCATCCCCTTTTAGTGGCCGCGCGAAATCTCGGAGGTGGTGCGGAGGTGGTGCCCAAACTTCTGTAGCTCAAACCTTGCCTTTGATGTGTTGATGTAAGTATCGATCACTTAGGTAAGAAGCCGAGGAGGCGTTCCATGCCATGACTAAGGGATCATCTCGCTTGGATGTGGTCAAAATACGTGTGTGCGTATATATATTCTCTGCCGAAAATGCCCTGCTCATGGAACTGATAGACATCTTATGCGGACGAATTAGTTATCTGCCGACGCTGAATATGAGCAAAAACATTCATTCCATTTACTTAGAGTTTGCCCCCAGGTCCATAGCAGAGCATCGAATGTCTTGTCAGGGGTGGATGTCTTGAGACGCGGAACGTCGATCGGCACCCCCATGTGGCTGAAGTCAAATATCCGGGGCCGGCTTAGATTCCCAAACAGCCGGTAGTCCAACAGCCATATAGAGTCCCTGTTGCCGTACACCCGCTTCTAGTGACTGCCGTTGCACCCACGTTGCCACGCCTGGCTCATGAGGTACGGTAGGTAGGTGGACGGGGGGACCGAGCTATTGGAGGTTTTATTCAAGCCCTCCATCGTCATCGGCTGTGCTTCCGAAACCCCCGTCACGAGCCTTGCTTTCTACCTGAATAACTAGAAGCCGCAGAAGACAACCAGAAGGTCCCGAGTCATTGCAAGGTTGGTAATGCCAGCCCGTTGAACCATGATCCCACGGCTCATCGTCCGCTAGCTCGTGATCTCTCGATTGTGGGGAAATGACTTGATGAACATGCTGCTTGACTCGCTTTACTTGCTGAAAGGGTTGTGTTATGACAAGGGGATTGGAGGAATTACTCCCACATGCACGCTTACACAGCATGTGGTAAGTGATCAATGAGGTCAGAACGCTTGATTACTCATTCCCGCAGCTATGTCCCGAGCTTCTTTAATAAGGTAGGATGTAGGAACTTGCTGATTTAGCATGTGATTGATTGTGTTGATGATGGGACCCCTCATTAGATAGGCCAATGTTGAGTTTCTACAATCTTCAGATTGACTTCATCAACAATCCACCAGTTGCTTTAACATTGCTAGAAGACCATGGTTCTTATTTTTCTTATTTGTACGAGGCTTTTGCCAATTCAGAGAATTCAGATCACGAAAAGGATTGAGATATTAATCAGGGAGTGTGTGTATTATCTAAACGCGCATGCTTCGTTAAGGAAAGTCTAGCCAATTACAATAGATGCAAAAAGGGGCGGCAGTCAATCGAGCAAGCAGCCGAAGACTGAACCTGCCTGGTGAAGCGCAATAGAAGAGAAGTATTAATGCCAACCTGAAATGCAGAAAATCAAATGTAATCCATGGCCGTCATCATGCAAGCCTCTTTAACCGAGAGGCATCTCTAAAGGAAGTCCTCCTGTATGCTTTCTTATGCGTCGACCTCAACCTCCTCGCTGCGGCCGGGATACTTTCCGGGATACCACTTGCCGTCGTCGAAGCCAGTCTTGCCACCCTCATACTTTCCAGGGGCCCATGAGCCATCATCGGCACGCTTGAACTCTTCTTCGTTCTCACTGCGGCCAGGGTACTTTCCGGGGTACCATTTTCCGTCGTCAAAGCCAGTCTTGCCGCCTTCGTACTTTCCGGGGTACCACTTGCCATCGTCGGCTCTCTTCACCTCATCGACACTCTCCTCATCGCGTCCAGGGTACTTTCCGGGATACCACTTGCCATCATCAAAACCAGTCTTGCCGCCCTCGTACTTTCCAGGGGCCCATGAGCCATCATCGGCACGCTTGACTTCCTCAGACTCTTCTTCACTGCGGCCAGGGTACTTTCCAGGATACCACTTGCCATCATCATAGCCAGTCTTTCCACCTTCGTACTTTCCAGGAGCCCACGAACCGTCGTCGGCACGCTTGACCTCCTCGGTCTGCTCCTCATCTCGGCCTGGGTACTTTCCGGGATACCACTTGCCGTCATCATAGGGAGTCTTGCCACCTTCATACTTTCCGGGGTACCACTTCCCGTCATCGGCACGCTTGACTTCGTCGGCATCTTCCTCACGCTTGCCGGGATATTTGCCGGGGTACCACTTGCCATCGTCGTAGCCAGTCTTGCCGCCCTCATACTTTCCGGGGGCCCATTTGCCGTCATCGGCTCTTGTGACCTCCTCGACGGTGTCGTCTTCACTGCGGCCTGGGTACTTTCCGGGATACCACTTTCCGTCGTCGTAGCCAGTGTTGCCGCCTTCGTACTTCCCGGGAGCCCACTTGCCATCGTCGGCAGGTTGTGGGGTGGGAAGTGCCAGAGCCGTGGCGGCAAAGGCAAGAAGAGTGTAGGAGTAGCGCATGGTTGGAGTGGCTGGTGATTGAGTGGAAAGGGCTGGAGGACTGTGAAGTTGTTTGGTGTTTCTGAGGAGGATAGAAGACGATATTGCAAAGTAGCGACTGAAAAAGTGTTGCTTTCTTCAGGGAAGAAGAGCTATGAGAAAACTGTGAACTTGTAATTGTGATGTGATGAGGATGATAGATTCGACAACAACGAGGAAGTCTGATGCATCTTATATACACAGCCGTGGCTGTCTAGATGCCAGAGTTCATTCCATTCCGCCAAGTTTAGCATCACCGATGGCATCAATCACGACGCCAGTGACATCACGACACCGCCAGAGCATAGCCTCCTGTGTGTTTACAGCTCTGTCTCACAATAGCCTTGGTAGAATCAATGAGAAAATCGGTCAGCAGACGACAAAATGCTAAGAATGATGGCGTTTTCTCGTATTGTGTCTAGAATCAACCCCGCGCCAACTCACTCCCAAGCATCTTGGTCGGTCCGAGCCTCCGCGCTTGCTCGTATACAGCAATAGGCGCAGCCGAGCTGAACAGCCACCAATGCAGTGTGAGCCTCGCGCGGAGCTCAATAGACGGTAAAAGGAGCGTCCGACGGGCAAGTAAGCAGTCGGAATGCCCAAGACTAGTAGACGCCACCGGCTCCAGCGAGAAACGACAGCTCAGAAACCAGTAAGCGTTATGTCTAAATTTAACTTTCCCGTCTCGATTCTTCTTTTCCGCCTCGATTCTTATTCCTCGGCGAAAAGCGTCGAGCTCTTGTGGCTGAAGAATCTCTCTCGAATCGGCCCATCATGTGGCTGTCCAAAAGTCCACGACGTAAGCAATTCCGGTCATGCCATCAGCCTCGTATCAATGCCGTGCCAGTCTGAAAGCAACACGAGGGAGGTGACCGCATGGCGCCATGCAGATCACCTAATGGAGAATATACTCGAGCTTCGGAATTGTGATGGCATTGATCTGCAGCTGTTGAAGCCTAATTCAAGTGGTTCTTTTTGGCCAAGAACCAGACATTTGCACTTCCACCCGAAGTGAGGGGAATATGCGGCTTACATGTCTCGGTTTTCTTTTTTCTGGGTCTCGCAACTATTCAGACTATTGGGAAGATGCATATGCAAAGCTGCTGGCGGTGTCATCTATACGAGCCCAGAGGATAGGCAGATTGTCAGACATGATCCAGTAGTTACGTCGAAGCTGGCGGTTCACTCCGACATTTTGACCGAGCAGACGGTAGCTGGACGGCTGTCTTGCACTTTGCATTGTTTCTGCATAAGATTCCGTCATATCACCATAACCACAGCGCCCTCACCGCCACATCCACCACTCTCATTGTCAAGAACAGTGTGAGACCAGACAATGGATGAGCAGGCCGGGGGAGGCCGACCACCGCCTCTGCCCCAGGTTTGCCTAGTGGACACCATCCCTAATAGCGTCGACTGATTTGGAAGCTTTTGGACCCGATGGCTTGGGGCTGAAAGCGGGGTATTCCCATTACTCGCAGAAATGCCCGAGGCAGCTGACCTTGCGCCTTGCTTGGCAGAGACGGTCGAGTTTTCGTCGACGACTCGGACGGGCTTCCAGCCGGGTCTAGTTCGAGAAGCTGGAGGGGTGGAGAATCCGAGTCCTCGAGACGTGGTTGTCTGCTGATTCACCATAAGGACCTTTTTTCATGTGAGACGCGGGACAGCCGATCAGTAACTTGCATCTCAGCATGCCGTCACAGCGATTAATTGCTTGGCCAAGAAGCAGAGCAATATGGTTCTGCCTGCTTATGCTCTTTTTCATATGTTTGCCGCCACGTACCTAAATCCTCTCGCCATTTTGCCAAAAACTTTGATCTCTAATTAATATACCTAGAGTGTCAGAAGATGTTGATCGCCGCATGTGGGCCATGAATTTGAAAAGACGACCGTCTTGGTCGCATACAAAGTAGAGATATTAGAAAGAGCTCTTGATGCACATTCTAGTAACTAGAAGCCTAGAACTCGAGATGGTGTCTTGCTGTTATTATCAAGCTGTGACGTTAGGCAGAGTAAGGTATTCAGATTTGCGTCTAAATTGGAAGAGCCATCGATGGCAAAAGAGGTCGTCTGACACTAAATTGCTATCGAAGGAAAGAGCATACATTCTGTTTCAATAACTTGCTTACGTATTCAAAGAAGGCCAGCTGGATAATGCAGTCCACAATCGGTCAGTAGCAGCTCATGTATCCAAAAGAAATTGAGTATTAAGTTCAAAAGCCATGGAAGATGCTAGAGCCCGACATCGTCGAGGAGTCATCATTAGTGTTAAGAAAATCTCATGAAAGTTAAATTAGCTAAATAGGGTAGGTTTTACGACATCGCTGAAAATACTCATGTGGGTGACATTGAAATCAAGACACTCAAACATTAAGCTGCTTATTCTCAAGTCAGCGACTATTTTCAAATTATTAGGTCCGAATTCTACATTAAACATAATACCGCATGTATTGTCATGTTATTTCTCTTTGATACTATTGAATTTCTCTAGGTATTCATTGCAGAAAGTAGTCAATTAATACATGTAACCACCCTTCCGTTAGGTGTCTCATTTCTCCTGTTACCTACTCTAATTGCTGTACTACTGAATTACAATTCATAATCAGGCACGCTGTTAAGAAAATGATAACAGACGCGCTGACGCGACGCGTTGTTTGCCTGTGTGACGTATCCGTTGCAAAACTCTGCTACGTTTCCTTCACTTTCATTTCTTCACATTCAACTCTTCCTTCCATCCCGTGCCCATCGTATGGTTGTTTCATCCCGATATCTACCGTCGATGATGTCTCAACCATCCGGAAAAGAGACGGCCAAAGTGGCCCTAAATCATTTCTTTGGGACAAACCCCACAGACGCAGAGGTCCAAGCCTGCGTTGCTTTTCTTGCGGCGAGCGACATTTCGACCGAAGCCCAAGGACCGGAAGACCACACCAACATCCACGAGCTCATACAGCGAATCGCCCTCGCCAGGAAGGCACAAGAAAAAATCACCAACGCGAAGGGGAATAACCCTGCCGCAACCAAACAGTCACTAGAGCTCAATCTAGCACATCTGTCGTACTTTCTATGCGCGGAGAAAGAGAGCCTTAAGAAGATCGTCAATGAAACACCAAACCACCTCGACGCGCGTTTACGAACTATCGAGCCTTTCGTCAAAATGAGTAAGAAGTCATTTATCTCTTACCGCACCCTTGCTCACACTAATAAAACAACAGTGCTCCAGAAAGATTTCCGTCTCCCCTTCCCCATCAACATAGGCCCCGGCAGTGGTGCAGCGGATACCACGTACCAGCCAAAAGCCAAACGCGTCAAAGTCGGGAACGCAATCGATAGAAATCAGGCCACGGCAAATGAGGCACGACAACGCGATCAACGTTGCATTGCGACTGGCTGCCCTGTCTTCGAAGCTTGCCACATCATGCCGTTCTCAGTCAACAACACATCGGCCAAGCTAGAAACTGCACGCGAAATCTTGACCGATATTGTCATGCCAATGCTGTCTACCGATGACTGGGAAATAGTTCAAAAGCTGGTGGTTCCAGGTAGTCCAGGCAGCGGGGAAGTCGGTATCTCGGATGAGCCCTGTAATATCTTATGTTTGAACCCCCTCGCACACAAAATTTTCGATAAGGCATACTTTGCCTTTGAGTGGGTTGGTCTCAGCAATAAAAGAGAGCTCGATGACGAGACCTACAGAACTGTACGACTCCGCTGGCACTGGCTTCCAAAATGTGTTGCTGACTCCCTGGGCCAAACGTATCTTCACGAGAGGACTTCGCGTAAAGGCGACACCGGGAGACTTTTGAAGTTTGGTGATGGATCAGACCATGGTATGGCCGCTGCCATTCATCGTCACCTCACCAACACCACCAACACAAGCATGATCAGCTCCCATGGCGTGTCTCTGCACCGCATGGAGAACCACAGGCCATTGGTGACTGGAACAATCCTCCTGATCAAGGTCAAGGAGGCTGACTTGGACAAGACGAGGCTACTGATACAGATTCAATGGCTTGCTCTCAGAATGGCGGCCATATCTGGGGCTGCGGAGGTGGTGGACGAACTTGATTCCGAGCCTCCAGGGTCTCTCGACGAGCTGCCAACATCCCGCAGAGCAATGCTACAGGCTGAAACTGATGAGCTTTACGATGTCGTTCTGCCGGAGCGCAGACAGATGTTCGCCGCACAACGCGCCCCGGAGTCTCCCGATACCGAAGAGGCCGGCCCAGCCCCTAAAGCTGATGCTGAGGCTGAGTCAATGGCTGCCAGGAGCCCTACACGACGTGATGATCCCCCGAGAGATGACGCCGAGGGACTAGAGGATCCGTAGGGCGGTCTTGATAGTTCTCTAGCGACACAACTGCACATTAAAGATGCAGAGGATAAGGGAAAAGATGCAGAGGATAAGGGCAAAGATGCAGAGGACAAGGGACAAGATACACTTGAACCAGAGACGGAAACACCCGTTGAAAGCACTCGTACGAAGGAGAAATTCCACACTCTCGCACGGAGCGTTAAGCAGAAGCTCAAGAGACGTACCTCACGCTTGATCCCAGAAGGGTGGCGGTCTCAGCAGGGAGAGACTTGAGGTACCTAAATGCAAGGTCAAGTGGGTGGAATAAACATGGAAGGTTCTTTCCGTATAAGACAGGGACCTCGTTTCTTAACTAAACACAATAAGAAGAGAATGATAAGAGAATAACCAATTATTCTTTAATATTTAGCTTGATATTGTATGCCGTACTAGATTATTTGTTGTGAATTGTGTTGAAATTCAGTACTGAACTATCTCGATGCGCCATGTTTTATTTCACCCACTTGAAAGTGTAGCAAAGTTGGTGGCGAGATGTGTTATTGGGGCACGAATTCAGAGGCGGTTGGCGCAATTGATATTAGGTAGTCTTAATTCATTTCTGTGAAAAGAAAAGCCGGTCATTATTGGTTCATTATAATCCATCTGATCAAATGCGTCTCAAACCTCACTCTCATTTACCACCAAGTAGTGTAAAAAAACAAGGTTTACTAGAAAAAGATAGGTCATGGGCTGCGGTTTGAGATCCTTAGACGCTAGTACCAGACACTCTTCATAAGACAATTTTATGATAATGGTACGTATTTCTGTCTGTATCGAAGTTATCTTATAAGGCGAGACTGAAAGATGATCGTGGTGGTGCGGCTGATCTAAGCTAGAGTCAGTACCTACCGAAGGCAAAACCATACAGAGTCATGAAACAGACAATCACCAACAATGGCATTGTCATTTAGCTGAAGTCCCGCTTTGAGGCAGCCGTGCAGGACGGACGGCGCTTAGATATCGACACCCACGCAGAGCGGCAGGGATTATCCCGGTGATCTCTCCCATCAAATAGCCAATAAGAGACAGGGGAAGCTTTGCAAGCCTACGGAGTAGACTTGGGCATCTCTTCCTTCCCAGAGGCTCTTCACCCCTGGAGTCCCAGACTTGGGCGTACTTGTAACCAAGGGAGAAATATGCCCGGCTTTCAGTAAGGGCTGGGCTCGTCTACAACACGCTCGGCAAGAACAGTACGTGATGCCGAGAGGTTTACACACCGGTCTTGGCCGTCCCTCTTTCAGCATGGCCCCCGCGCTTATTAGCACCGCACTTCCTGCAGGTCAACATTGGAAATGTCTAATATGTTCAACTGACGATGACCAACGGGGCGTTACAGCGCAGGAGTATCACTTAACCTGCGTTGTGCCCCCCTGCATGGATTCTCCAAAAACACGCTGCTTACCTTCCACTGGATCTCGTGAAAGTCTTGTTTTGTTTTCCCGCTCTCTCCTTTGTTGCTCCTGGCATGTCTCTTAGCCACCTACCTAATCTTACCTTTCTTTCGTTATTCGCTGTTTTCATTTCTTTAAGACTACGCTATGCCTGAGCCATGGCTGTTGAGCCAGGCCTCAATGCGGGGATATTGGGGCATATTAGTGGCAGTTGCTTTACTTGCTGCTACTCTGGCAGAGGGAGCGAGCTGTGTCCCCAAACCTCTGGTAATGCCGATTGCCAATGTCACCCTTGGCCCTACTCAAGTCCGTCGTGGTGTATCGATCAAGCTGGGCAGTCCCAATCAAGAACTCTCCGTTATACCTTCTTGGTACGCACTCACAAGAAAACTCCCTTCCACGATCGTATCCAGCCATGACTTCCAACCAAACCTCCTTCGCTATCTAGTCTCGCTAATCCCATCTAGGCAAAATAACAATACCATAATTTACGGCCCGACCTGCCTCGATAAAACAATAACGACGGAAAAATGCCGCTCCGACAAGGGTGGCCTCTATGATCCTGCCAAATCGAAGACCGCTGGGACAGTCAAGTCCGATTACAAGCCGGAATCGGATGACACAGTCATCACTCCAGAGTCATACAGCTTGTTCACCGATAATGTGACAGTCACGGATGATTACTTCATTCAAGATTTCCCCATGATGAGAGCAGTAAACGACAGCAAGTGGGGATACGGGGGCTATCGACCTCAACATATCATCGGGATGAACACGGGCTCCACGTTCTTGGAGGCGCTTTATTCCGCTAAAGCCATCGCATCCCGCTCGTGGGGGTATTATTATGGTCGGGAAGCCCGCAATGACAACACGGCCGGCTCCTTTATTGTTGGGGGTTACGATAGGGCCAAAACTTATGGTGATGGCTACACCCGCAACATGGAGATAACAGACAACTGTCCAAGTAGCATGGTAGTTACGATCCAAAACATTCTACTGAACCTGCCCAACGGGACCGACGTATCAATTTTCCCAAAGACAAGCGGTGGGCAGGGGTTAATGGCCTGTATCCACCCCGAAAAGCTCGTCCTCCTCGACATGCCAGTCGACCCTTATTTCAACACCTGGCAGCAGATTATGGGTTACTCACTAGAAGAACGAAGGTCGGTTGGGATTGATTTTTGGAATGAGCTACTCCCCCAGAAAGGGTAAGTTCTTTGTCATTCTGCCCTTCACCCCCCAGGCCTGGCTAACACAGTGGGAACGCGAAGCTACGATGGGGGCTTGACATTCGACTTTGGTTCGGGTTTCCGCGTCAGCATACCGAACAACCAGCTTGTCGTCCCCGACAGAATATACAATGATAAGGGCGAGCTCTGGGCCAATTCTTCGATCAACGTACTACGCATCAATGCGTTGACGGCGGCCACTGCTACGCAATTCCCGACACTTGGACGCTACTTCTTCCAGCAAGCATACATCATGGCGAATCATGAGACGAGGCAGTTTACGCTCTGGCAGTTGAATCCCACCAGCATACAGGATCTTGTAGTTGTCAACGACAAGAACAAGGTCGTTAGCCAAGATACCTACTGCGCCAATAGAACCGTGGCAACAGAAACCGCGAGTCCTTCCGCTTCTTCCCCGACCAACACTAACGGGGCAACGAACGAAGACTCAGCAGGATCGGGAACAAACAAAGCACCCCTTGGAATGGGTGCCATAGCTGGCATTGCTGTGGGTGGTGTGGCTCTCGTCGTCATCGTCGTTGCCGCCATTTGGGGGCTGTGTCGCCGACGCAAACGCGCGGCGCAGAGACTCTTGCAGCAGAAGCAGATGCGGGAGCCCTTCCCCATTTCCGATCCTCCAAAGGAGCCCACGCCAAAGTACGAGGACCTGTGGCCTAGCCAGGGCCAGCCGCACTACATTCCTCAGGAAATGGCAGCCCACAGGCCAGCCTCTCGGTCTCGGTTTGAAGAGATGGCAGCGTGGAGGAAAACCCCTCCCCCTCAGGAAATGGCAGTCCCCAGGGAAGCCCGTCGACCTCCAGCGCCGCCTGCTGAGCTGCCTGTAACGCCTGCTGAACTGCCTGCAATGCCTGCTGAATTGCCTGCAACGCCACGACATTAAACAGTTCAGCGAGACACCGGAGTTGGACGTCAAGAGGAGGGAGATGTGGTGTTAGGACGCCTTCTTTTGATTTATACACGTTAATTGGCTACGGGGCGTATTTGGGGAGGAGTAAACAGTTGATTGATATCCCATTTCCATACCTTGTCTCTTTTCTTCTTTTTATTTTTATTTTCCACCAAGTATAAGAATTTTGTATATACTTTAGTTATTAGCCAGCGTGATTTCCAAACTCTGGACAGCACATGCCCCTGGTACGTACCCCCGTAATTCAGCCTTCTCAAGCTTGGGGAGCGGTACTTGCCCACTTGGCCCACCTGTTGGGTGCTCTTCTGAGGCCTTTTTTCCATTTTTTTCCCACCTTATATGCCCGGTCGAGATGAGTGCAGCATGCAGGGGTCAGACGCCGGTATTGCACATACGAGAGTTGTATCAAGTGGCATGGTGCAGCCCCGAGACTATGCCCTTTGCGTAAACATGTTGAACCAACAGCATAAGCATCCCTCCCCGAGGCCTCAACTCTCACAATGACTGGACAGAGGAGAAAAGGATGAGCGCTTCACATGAAACATGCCTGCATTGCGCAATTTTTCATGGTCCAAGCAGCCGCCCCCAGAAATCATCTTGCCTTTGTAGTAGAAACTCTCTGTGTGAAGTGTGACGGTTTGTGATTCTATCACAGCGTTTCTCTACTTTTGCCCAGACCTGATTCCAGCTCAGGCTTCGTGGGGTATGACTACTGGTCTTGGCAGACGTTCCTTGGCAGAGACGTTCTTAGCCAGAAGTTCCTTGCCGCTTGTCCACTCTGGGCTGGGATTGCAGTCTCCAGGTGTGGTGCATTGAAGACCTTCAGCATTCAAGTCTCGAACCGCTCGGTTTCAGTCTATGTGAACAACAGCACCAGGTCTTGCCCAAGTTCATCCGCCGTCAACTCTCTCACGGCACAATGCAGATGAAACTTACCGGGTCATGTTCAGCGCGACCGCCATTTGGGTCGTGCGCCAACTACCAGCGGCGTGGTCCGATATATGAGGCTCTAGGGTAAGCTAACTTAGCTGGCGGGATTCAGGAAAAAGAACAAATTGAGGCGAAAGAAACAGGTTATCCCAACCAAGATGAGACTGAAGCGCAATGCAGTCATGGGAGGGTCATCACTGATAAGTCTAATTGAGCACATGTCGTCGAACGCGGCTGTGGGTGGCACGAACGAGCAAAACCAGATCAGATAACATCACGGCTCACAGTGAGATCGGTTAGTATCCCTGCAGGCGATGTGACCCCATTTGAGCCTTTACTGACCAGTATGGCCAGGGCCGTAGGCGCCCGCTTGGTGAGCCGCAAGAGCTGATAGCCGACTTATTGCAACCCCTGACTGCCCATGATGGTGTCTATTAAATCATCGGTGTGCAGCTGGAGTGACAGGCCATCGGTTGAATCTAGTGGGGGTACATCAGCTCTGAGTCCAGTAACTGCTATGTAAAATGCAAACGCCGGCGCCTTATAAGGCTTAATTAGTGGCGCTTAAGTGATCGCGGCCCCGTTTATGATATCCGTGGCCAATCCATGTCTCCTGTTGCATATTGTAAGCGCCAACATGGGCCAATCGCTTCGTGTTGCCCAACCCGATCTATTCACGGTCACGCAAATCTTCTTCATACCAACAACCAACAACCAACAACCAACATGGCCAACAGACAGGACCCGCTCCGAGATGGGCTGAGGAGGTACTTGTGTTGGCCCGAAATTTCCTCTCTCTTGATTCTTACTTTCCTTTCCATTGCTTTCCCTTTTGTCCATTTGCTGCTTAATCCCCGTTCCCCGGCGCTGATATCTTTGAATTGATGCCATGACGAACATTCTCCTTGGCTTGTTTCTTCTCATTTTCTTGCGGCCATGTTCTGCAGCCAATACCTGCTACTTCCCCAATGGGAAAATCGCTTCTGATAACTTCCCCTGTGATCCAGACGCAGAGCAGAGCGCATGCTGCGGTGGTGGTCTGGGCAATGTCTGCCTCTCCAACAAGCTTTGCCAGAGCTCAAGTGGAAATGTGGTCCGAGGCGCATGCACGGACAAGAATTGGGAGTCGCCTGAATGTGCCATGTACTGTCTAGGTAAGTCTGCTCTTTCGTGGCGGTATGTCCGGTCGCGACGAAACCGCGAGGCCTTTCGCCAACCTCGGCTGACCTGTTGCTTCCCCTAGGTGCGAATACCGGAGGCACCGACTTAATATCGTGCTCCAATGTCACTAAAACGGACACCTCTTTCTGCTGTGACCACACTACCGACTGCTGCGATAGCGGCGTCGCCAGATTCGAGGTCTTGCCTTCGCGCGCCGGCACCTGGGCATCATGGAATGTGGCCTCGAGTAGATACTTCACCGTCAGTACATCCTCAACAAGGGCGTCTTCGTCTACAGCCACAGCCACTTCGACCACCCTAGTCTCCACGACTTCAGCCTCCACCAGCGTCTCTTCCGCTTCTGCGTCCTCGACTGCGATATCGTCCGAAGGCTCACAGAATGTCACGTCGCCAGGCCTATCGGTTGGTGCTCAGGTGGGAATTGGTGTCGGTGTCGGCGTTGGAGCACTTCTCGTTGCCGTAATCGCCTTTCTCCTCTGGAAAAATCACAAGAAGAACCAAATAATCAACGACAATCAGGTCAGAGAAGTTAGCCATCCTCCCTCCTCGTCATCGCCGTGGGATCCTTCGAGCCAGAGCTACGCGTCCTCAACACACCCCTACAGCCACGCTGGGCCGTGGCCACCACATCACCACGAGCAGCAACTGTTGTACGATAACGGCCCCAAGGAATTACAGGACCAGCGTTGGAATGGTCCGGTAGTAAGGGCTGAGCTCCCCGCTCACGTATAGAATATACGGTTGTTGACCCAACCTTGTTCTTTTCTTTTGGCGGTCGACTTGCATGATTGTCTTCTGCATCTTCTTCGTTCTTTCTTTTTGTTAAAGATACAATTTTTTCGGGCGCATCATTTGGGTATTTTTATGAGGCGAAGGCGGAAATTCTTTCTATCGTTCACTTGTCGTACTTTGAATAAAAAATATATCTATAATTTCTATATCAAATATATACCGATTGTTCAACAGCGATCAATGACAGTGGGATGGAAGATTGTTCCCACCATGAACACAATGTAGTATCCGAGGATAGTCAGGTTTAGTCTAGCTCGTAACTGCCTCAAAAGACAGCCCAAACGTTCGACCTCCGACTTGGTGATATTGAGTGTTACGGTTCCGTCAAAACACACATCTCGAGTTTCCTATCGGTATGGTTCTTCTTTTAATTTTCAATAATATTAGAATGTCACAGAGACTTATTTTGGTCCAGAAGCAGAAGAAACAAAGTAGCAGTTTTCGTATTCAGGTCTGGGGAATTGTTGACTAGAAGATTCAATTCGTTGCGAGTACAATTTCTTTAGGGAGGCTAAGTCTGATCGAAATAGCCTCAACATGTCAAGTCATCGCAGGGAAAGTACAGCTCGCCATTTGTGCAATTTTAGAGGGTCAAATCTCCACTAGAACAAGTAGCAAAGCACAACGAGCTGGCATGGATGTAAAATGAAACTGCTTTGGGATGCGTGCCCCAAGCATGTGTGCTTGCTGGTTAGACACGGAAAACTAGATGTTTATAGATCGGTCATAAAAAGTTTGATTGAATGGAATGTTCTTTAATTAGGCAAAGCTGAAAAAGAGAAGGTGTTATACGACCACTTCAGGGTTTGGATATAGCTTCTAGCTTTATATATTAAATAATAGTAGGTTACTCTATACATCGATAGCTATTAGCTACTGGGTTCTCAAACAATCAGCTATTAATCGATATAAAATTAGCCTTCAGATTATCCCGTCTTCGATAATACTATTATAAGCTTATAACTAAGGTGGTTTATAGTATAGCGAGAAAGTATACTTTATATGCGTGTATATCACAAACCTTAGAAATACAATCAATAGCTACAATCTCGAGCAGGTAATTTTAAACCTATCCGCCGCGATCCAGATAGATACGATCAACAGCCGCTGCCTTAAAGCAGGTAAGTTGGATCTATCCACACTGACTCCTATGAATAGGATCAACAGCCGCAGCTTCGGGCAGGTAAGTCAGACTCCTCCTTGATCCCGCTGACCGTGATCCAGATGAATAGATTTAATAGCTACAGCTTCAATCTGCCTCGAGCAGGTAAGTCTGATCCTATCCACCCCGGCCCTTATGAATGCAATCAACAGCTGTAGCCTCGGGCTGCTTCGAGCAGGTTAGTCAGATCCTATTTGCCGCGATGATGGTAAAAAAGATCAATAGCTGCTGAAAACCCCGGCTTCATCAGGTTTGCCTACCCCTGTGACGGCCTGCCAGTATCAACGGTCTTGTATAAAACGACAGAAGGAGGATATAATAAAGAGGCGTGCTACAGTGATTGACTTGGATACAAATTGTCGATATTTATTACAAGATTATCGGCCAACTCATCGTATTCATTGTGTTGGGATGTTAAGACCAGCATATTTTATTGATTGTTATTTATATTTTATACTTACACTCTCAGTAGGATAGATCACAAGAATACATAACGCGGTAGACGTAGCTTTAAAACCTAATACATCACAACGAGAATGGAGATACGTGACAGAAGGTTCATTGGCGCATCACAAACAAAATCTGATCGGGCAATCATCGGTATTGTATATTTTCTCGTTGTGGAAGAGGAAAACGGCATGTTCATTCTTCTGTCGAGCGGCTTGCTCTCGTATACGTACCTAATTAATGGACAACAGCATGAGGAGCGAACATTAGACGGAAACAAAACTAGAATCAGATTGAAATTGTTAGACCGCAACAATCGCAGACCTGTGTCATGCCATGCCTGCTCTTTCTGCGGGATGGCAAAATTAAGTTGTTATTTTCATCAATTCCGCTGTAGCCCCCTTCCGCCTGAGTGAGCGTACGTGTGATTTTTATTGAACTCGTTACCTGCTTTAATAACTTTCTCTGTCCTGTAGAACACCCCGTTTTGTTGAACTGGAGATAAAGTTACCTTTAGTTATAATGCTGTTTGACCTTGGTTTATGATTATACAAGACCGTTGATGCTGGCAGGCCATCATAGGTAAGCAAAGCTGACGAAGCTGGGGTTTTAGTGGACTAAGGCTAGTTTGAGTGCCAATAGGATCTAACTTACCTGCTCGGGGCAGCTCGAGGCAACAGCTGTTGATCGTATTTATCATCATCGCGGCAAATCTGATCTGACTAACCTGCCCGAAGCAGCCCGAGGCTGTGGCTGTTCATTGTATTCGTAAGAGTGAGCGTGCATAGGATTTGACTTACCTGCTTGAAGCCATGGCTGTTGATCGTATTCACAAGGGTCGCGGCGGATAGGATCAAGTTACCTGCTCGAGACTAGCTGTTGATCGTATTAACAAGGGTCGCGGCGGATAGGATCAATAACAGTATACGCGCGTATAGCCAGCGATGGCAACTACGAAGTCACGATGTCACTCAGACCAATAAGCAGTCGATTTATAGAATTGCATGATTGCAAAACGTCCTATTATAGAAGCGAATCTACAAGCTGCGCTCCGGCTGCTGCCTTTGATAAAAGGGTCTCTTGGTGTGCGCAGAGGTGGTTGACTGGCCGGAGGTGGTGGTTCGATTATTATATAAAGACCAGCACGGATAACCCGAACTTACCCAAACCCGCCCGTTTCTGGGTATTACTGAAAACAGCTGGGTATTTTGGGTCCCCGGAGGAAACGGGTGGGTTTGGGTAAGTTCGGGTTATCCGTGCCAGTCTCTAGTTCGATAGCAAAATCCTTTAAATTAGGTACCTAGGCAAAGCTGGAAACTGCACCCAACTCTGAAGGGATCGGACAACAACTTCTCTTTTTCAGCTTTGCATAATTACTTCTAGAAGATGTTAATACTAGAAGAATAAGTGAGTATAAGATAGGATATAGAGACGAGGCCTTTTTAGGCTACACTTATTGTTATGAAACAACCTCGGAATGGCTTTTAGCCGGGGGGCTCCATATGCCCCAGGGTCGCGATACGATTTGTGGCTGTGCTTGGACATGCTCCGCTTATTTCGATAAGGAAAAAAAGAGCAAGGAAGGAAGGACAAAAGGGGCCATCAGGCGATATAGATCTCCTCCCCATACAAACCAAGCGTTGCGTGTCATCCGCACCTCGCTCACCTACCAAGATCAAGAGCGAAAAAGAAGAAGCATAAGGGATGCGTATCGACCTGTCTCATTTCCGCAACCTCCCCCCGCGGGTGCTTCGCAATATTGTGGCCTTTACTGGTGTCTTCATCGTCATTTTGACAACTGGAATCCTCGTCGTCCAATGGCGTAGCGCAGGCCCAGCTGCCCACGCGGTAGCTGAAGACTCCAAAAACGCTTCAGTGGTAGTTGAGAAACCTGTGCTTTATCCTCCGATGGGGCAGATTCCCTGGTGGACAACAGAACAAGAGCGGCCCAAGTTTGCCTACGCCCAGTATGCCACAAACTTGGACTATCTCTGCAACTCGGTGAGCATTGGATTTCTTCCGTTCAGTCTTTGACTTTACTCTTCGGAAATTGGCGTTCCCATTTTCATTCAACTTACTCGACGCTAGGTCATCAATTTTACGAAGTTGCGCAGGTTTGGGGCCAAGTATGACTTGGTCCTCATCTACCCGACGGCGTGGTCGGAAGGCACTTCAAAGGAAGCACAGGCTATTTCCAAGATCCGAGAACATCTTCCAGATGTCCATCTCCGACCTTTTGATGTTATTTCCACAAACAAGGGCGATTCCACATGGGCTGACAGCCTGACTAAATTTCACTCGTTTGCTTTGACCGAATGGACCCGAGTCTTGGCTTTTGATTCGGATGCTCTCGTCCTCAACTCGATGGACCATTACTTTCTCAGCCCGATGGCCGCGGTGGCCGTGCCCCGTGCCTACTGGTTGACCGAGAAGGACAAGGACATGGATATCGCCAAGCAAGTACTCGGCTCGCATGTCATGCTCCTGGAGCCCAATGAGCATCGCTACCAGCAGATCATTGAAGAAGCCAAGCGATCTGGCGAGTTTGACATGGAAGTTCTCAACCACTTGTTCAAAGACTCGGCCATGATTCTCCCTCACCGCAGGCTTGCCCTCTTAACCGGAGAGTTTCGAAACAAGGACCACTCCAAGTACTTGGCGCCAGATGTGGACGAGGAGTGGAACGCCATGGGCGAGGTTTCGCGGTCCGTCCTGGTCCATTTTAGTGACTGGCCTCTACCGAAGCCATGGATGCATAGGACCAAGGAGCAATTCGAGAGTGTTATGCCGGAATGTCCAGACGATGACATGGGAGCTCCAGACAGACCTAGATGTGCGGATCGAATGATGTGGACGGGGTTTTATGAAGACTATGACCTCGCGAAGGAGGCGTATTGTTCGATCTTGCACGATTAGGCGAGCATTACCCACAATTGAGGGAAGTGATAGTTTCAATAAGGATATGAAATATTGTAGAACTCGCCAGAATCTAGAGGTATAACATTACTAAGAAGTCTTCTTTTCCCATTGTATTTTTGGAGATTGAATCGCAGCATACAGGACAAAAGCAAGAATGGAAGCGGCAATGATTCCATAAGGCTGAAAAGCATACCATCTACCTCGGGGTGGTTGTCGCAAAAATCGGCTAGAGAACCTTCCTGTGCATAGTAAAAGTTCTGAGGCTGTGGATCAGACTTTAGAATCGGGCATTGAACGTGCCCGATACGCGGCATAGATCTTGCCACCGGTTTGTAAGAGGATACGCCTTGGAAGGAGAGAGGGGCGTTGGGTAGATTCAAGGTTAACGAACGTCTGTAGTCCATAACAGTAAACAACGCGCTTGGTAGAGCTTCAAACCCTAATATATCACATTGTGACTCACATTTCGCGACAGAAGGTTCAATGGCGCGTCATCAACAGAATCTGGCCTGGAAACCAGCCATATCGTTCCTGCGCGTGGATGTCAATATTGTTTAGATGTAAACAACAGCAAAGTCTCATATCTTCACATTGCGCATCTCCCACCCCATCCAGCATTTTTCTCTCTTTCGAAACAGAACTTGAACGAATATTTTATTTTGGAGAAAGCTCCTATTCGACATTGCAATATGTCTGCGTTTATGACACTACCCGTCGAGGTCATCAACGAGATTCTCCGGGAGCTCCCCGACAGGCGATCCCTCGCGGCAGCCAGCTTGACATGTCGGAGACTGCATTCTTGCATCGAAGTATACCGGTTTATCACAGCGGATGTTATTGAAGCAGACGTGGGGGAGGAATTGCTCTCCTACTTGACTGTTGCTTATCTTGGCGCATCTTTGGTCCGACCGTTTCAGAGAGTAGCGTTCCTTATTGGCAATCTCTACGAGAGCCCCGATATAATCAGGGCTCAGTACCATAATATGCCATTGGGTGAGATCCGACGCATGGTCCGTTTTCATAGCTACGTTTGCTCGCTCGTCCATGAGTGGGCGTCCGATTCCTGGACTCACATGAACGTACATAACGACACACTCCGAAGACTATTCAACTTCATAAGATATCGGAAACCAATGGAAGTGGATGTAGAGATCGGGTTATCCTAGGGCGAGAAATTCCGATGGCTTCGTGCAGTCTATCGGTTCGAGATCTTCGTTCACTTCTTTCGGGTTGAGGGAACAGTCGAGCCCACTCTTGCTGAGCAGCGAAATTCGTTTTTGGCCAGGCACCCTCCATGGGAGCTTGAGCAAATATCAGCCGTTCACGACTTCCTGTTGTCAAGGCTCAAATATGGTATGTGGCAAAATAAACAATGCCTAATTCGTAGTCGTTGGCTGACTTGAACATTTCAGCAACCTACAACACCCTGCTGAGGCAACGTCCGGAGGAACAAGTTTTTTGGGCGGATCCTCAACGATACGAGCTCAATTGGCAAACCTGGGTAAGTGTATCTACTCTCTTCCCAAGACAAACGTCCCCAGCTAATGTTCTTTATAAGCTGTCGCAAGGGCTGGATTTTCTTCAAAGGGTTGAGCAGTCCAGGTCAAAGGAAGATCAGAGAGCAATCTTGACCACAGGCGCGGAAAATGGCACAGCCCGACCTCGAGACTCCATCCGCGCTTACCAGAGGGCGGTAGAAGGACGCATGGCTAATTCACCTCTACCGTACTTTTCTGAAGCTCAAATAGAGGCCATGATACCTACCGCGACAAGGACAGATGATACCGACAAAGGTCCATATACAACCTGGAGGCGAGCCTATACTGGCGTTCGTAACTATCACTGGGCTGCGGACACGAGGAAAGAGACTCTCCGTCTGCTCGGATACGTATTTTGGGACATGGAAAGAATCGAGACATGGGTTCTGAAGCCGCTTTGTGGCTGGCTGGAGGATCGCACTGATATGGATATACGTCCTTCCTCTGAGGAGTTAATAGAAACAACTTCGCCTTCGATGCCAACATGGGCACGAGTATTGCAGGTACGAAGACGGGGATGAGAGCTGGTGAACCTTAGCCATAGAAGGCCTATGGTATAAGGAAGCGGTGAAAAAAGGCTGGTTCTCCTTAGAAAGCGCCTTATCTTCTGTCGGTTGGAACATGATTGGTGGCAAATTGAACGCGGTAGGGCTAGACTCGGAGTGTATTCGATAGTCAGAGTATTCATTAAGAAAGACATGCAAGTTTCTTAAACCGTCGTTGTGGGATGAACAGTGAGCGCGGCTAATATCAATTAACTAGGATAACAGTAAGATGTAGATTATGGTCGGTTTGAGTTAATTATGGTTTGAGTCGTTGGTTGTTGAGATAGAAAGCCATATATGAGTTTTGAAATCTTGAATTCGACTAATTAAGGACCACCCTTGGATTCTGTTGCCTCTTTGACAATTGGTTAGCTGTAAATGATACCTGTCTGTCTGGTCGGTACAGCGGGAGGTCATGTGACTGATGTCGACGTACTTATTCTCATTCATGTTGTTGCTGGCTCCACCGACTTTTGTAATCTCTGCATGACCTCTGGAATTGTCATCACACGGGCCTACAATGGAGAACAGTCTATCCAAGCCATGCTGGACATGCCGGAATCGCCACGTCCAGTGTGATCAAACGCGAATGCCTTGTGCAAAATGCATAAAGGCTGGTCTTGAATGCAGTGAAAAGCGGCCTGTCCGCTGGGTCCAGGGAGTGGCCATCCGCGGTAAGATGCAGGGCCACATGTACGTGTGCCCAGCAGACAGGCCAGTAGGTACATCGTCGAGAAGGTCGGGCAAGATTGTGTTTAAGGCTCATGCGACGCGGCCATCGATCCGTGGAAATGCTGTGCCAAAAGGCAATCGCTCCTTGTCGAAATCGTCCATTAGAAAGCGGCGAAACACAGACAATGATGGTAGGCCTATTCTAGCACTGATAGCACGAATTTTCCGTTTCATACCCTGATGAAACAGGCACCTGTGTTAATCGTTTGGTGCACTAGGGACAGTCTTGGCGGATTCTACAGTCATGTATCCAGACCATGGATCCAAGTACTACCTAGACTATTGTAAGCATTCACTGTGAAAATCTAGGGCTCAAAGCTGACGTGGAATTTAGATCTTGAACATATGTGCAAAGACTTTGTCTTTTCGCAAACAGATAGAAATATGCTCAAAGATTTGGTCCCATTCTCCCTGAACGATTCCGCACTGCAAAAGAGTTTGATCGCTCTTGCTGCCCGTCATCTTGCCAACAGAGGGCAGTCTTTCTATCAAGTTGACCCGATTGGATCCCACGACAGCACTGAAGCCAATCGACAAGCCCTTGTATTCAAACAGCAAGCCATGCAGGCATTACTCAAGACTCTAAGCGACCCGGTAGCGCTTAATAATGACAGAACCAGAGCCAGTATCTTCCTCTTCATTCTGCTAGACCTAATGGAGTCTGGGAGCTCTGGGTGGGATTCCCACCTCGAAGGTGCGAAAAGATTACTTTACCTCAACCAGCCCACGAGTAAAGTGACAGATCAAGCTCCATCAGAACAAAAGAGGCTGGGCATGAGCCAGGACCTTCAAGCCTTCTTGATGCGCCAACTCTATTTGTAGGTTTAAAGCAATTCTTCATATGGTCGAAAGCGCTAATCATATAATACGTTAGAGTCGAGAGCCTGGGATCATTGTTTGCCCGCCCTGGTCGTGCTACCTCTCTACCGCAAGCTATCGCCTTTAACGAACATTCAATCACACATGAATCTATCGATGACTCATTCATGGGATGCCCGGCGTTTTTGTTGAGAGCCATCCGGTTTATCTCCACAGAGAGAGATCTACTCTTGGCAAAGCTGCTAGATTTGGGACTTGAAGCACGGGAGACTCACAAGCGATCCCTAGAGGAAATGATTTCCCGTGTTGAAGCATTCGATTGCGACAGGTCGCTCTTCGATATCCCAAAGGAATTCTCGTCTTCTCCCCACAATCAGGACGAAGCACACCATCGGGGTGCTTTGTCCAAGGCATATAGAATTGGGGTCTTGATCTACGGACAGCGAGTGCTTGAACCACTCACTGAGGGCCAAACTTCCGGCCTTGTTGAGCTCGTGTCAGAGTTGCTGAACATATTCGATACTCTACGCGATGATCAAAACCTTCTCAAATGTGTCCTCTGGCCTCTATTTGTCGCAGGTCTAGAATGCCAGTCCTCACTACAAAGAAAATATTTCCTAATGCACTTGGAGAAATTTTGGATGGCTACCAAATGCTTGAACGCAATACACGCGGCTAAGATATTGGAGGATTATTGGCAAGAAGGGGGTAGCAAATCAGTATCATGGCCTTTTGATAGCAGCCGCTTTGGCCGTGTTTGGCTTTTCATGTAATGTATCATACATCAGTTGAACAACCAGCCGTGAAAGGGTCTGAGCGACGGTCGTATTTTCAGGGCTTCTCTTTCCTTTGGAATGCATGTACTACTACAAGCTCGAGCCATCCTACGGAAGACCAAAGTTCAATAAGCAGTTCTCTTTGATTTCTAGAGGACTACATATGATGAAATTTCGGAAACAAGGACCTTCATTCCCATTCCTTCATCAGCGTATTGGCGCTGATTTCCTTGGCAAAGTCGACCAGATGAGTCGAGTGGCACCAAGGCTTAATGTTCTCTTCCTTCTCAATAGTTTTCGAGAAGAAGGAGCACCACTTCGAACGCGGGAAGGCCTTATTGATCTCCTCGCGAGTGAAATCGTGGATCAGCTTCCCAAAATCTTTCACGTGAGGATGAACCCCAGTGTTATCATAGGTGGTAGCTAATTGAATAAGCTGGCCGATAAATGTAATAGTCCCATCTATACCCATGTCTTGGTGTCTAATAATGGCCTCGGAAACGGCCTCGGCTTGGTCAGTCGTCGCCCCCAAGTCTTTGAGCACCTGCAAGGCTTTGATCCCGCCATACAGATCGAATGACATGCGAGTTGCGGTGAGATTTTCCTCGGCAGTACCGATATCATGTAGCAAGCAAGCCAAAGCCCAAGTTGCTGGGTTAAGCACGGCGGCTTGTTCAGGGAACTGCTGTCTTGTAATGGCGATTCCTTGGTCTTCGTCAACAAATAGGAACGTAAGAGTAAATCTAAGAGAATGGCGGCTGCTTACCGTAATGATATACTCTCATAGAGTGATTGAAAGTCTCGGCATGAAGAGATGCTTTTGCGTAGTCATAGGTCTTTTGGACTACAGGATCGGCATGGGGAAATTCGATATCTTTCAAGGATAAAGCCCCAGGCTCGTTGATGAACGGTCGATCCCCGAAAATGACACCGGCATTCGCGGGTGTACTTGTCCAACCGTTCTGACCAACTTCGTCGTGCTGACACATTTTTGCTACGGTTTGGTCTTGAGGAGGTTTAATGGGGAATTTTCGGAGATTGATATAGCAGATGATGATGCTTTTCTTGATGTGGAAGAAAAAGGAACAGTAAGAGACGGCCACCCTTTTATACCTAGTTCTTAAAATGCCGCCAGTCGGATTTGATATGTAATCCCTAAGCCAGTATTGCGTCAGATCTCATTTCTCAAAACATTAACTGTCAAAGTTGCAAACTCCTATCATTGCAATGACAGGATTCGGCGCTATGCGGATACGTCGGGAAGCTTGATCTGTTGCGCTGTATCAACAACCTAGTTCATTACTGTATTAGGAAGTTGTTTTGGGTGGGTTGGTCTTACGAGTGGGTGTGAATCAGTCTCATCTCTAATCTTCACTAGTCCTAATCTTTGTCTATAGCATTATTTCCTTTTTTGGAATATAAATGTCAAAAAACTCCATTGTTCTTTTAGCTCACTCAGCCATCATGTGAGAGATATACTTAGATAGGGGCATTGAAGTTACATTGGCAGTTATGCAGACTTTCCATAGCTCGAGGAGTATCCGTCAATATTAGACTCATTACAAATCGTTTGGGCAGAGAGTGGGATGATCTCACATTGTACGCTTACGATTTGTCGCACGCGGATAAGAAGTACTATCTTCGCACACTTAGATCGCTACCCTGCTAAGTCATCAATACATTCTGGCTTGATGAGACACGGATGGTCATATTAGAAGCAATACGTTAAGAAATCCGGATGTATTGAGAAGCAAACCTCATACTATCGCCAAAACTTCTGAATCGTCCAGTTGTTGATGGTTTTCAAAATATTCACCGCGCATTATTCCCTCAACGTAACATTCCCCAACAAGTTGAAACTCCTCCCCTTGGCCCGCATTTGGACCTGTGACTTGTCGTAACAAGTATGGTACTTTGCCTCCGTCGAGAAGAGCAATGAAATCTCCCTCCTTTGCCATCCAAGGACACAGACCAGACATGCCATCTTCTGTAACGAAAAATGATTTCTCCATGCACGTTGGGAGCTTGTCTGTCTCATAGCTGCAGAACCCTCCGGTCTCGGTGGGACAAAGGCTCGGCAACTTCGGCCGAGAACAATAATCCCAATGTGCCCTCACGTGGTCTCCATATTCGAACCTGGACCTCCTCAGCCTATCTTTCTCGTCATGCACTATAATCTTGATCCCCCAGAGGCCAGTATATCCGCAGGGATCAAATATCTTGTCAATTATGGACTGAGCTCCGGGATGTTCCTCTGGGTGGTCTCCATAGGGGTACATGGACTCTATCGGGATGTACCCCATAGAGGATATTCTAGATATCCGCCGCCCTCGGAGCAGAAGCTTTAGAGGGTCACAAGTTTCGAGCAAACTGATATCAGGTTCTCTCTTTCTGGTAGCGCAAAAGTCAAACTGGGCGCACAGCGAAGCTTTAGACCACCTAGAGCGGCCGGTAGGACCCAATGCCCAACTAAGATGCGGCAGCTGGTCATCGCCACGTGATTCGTATAATGTCTGTCGCCAAGTGCGTCCCTGTTGGCAGTGAATGGCGGATAAGATATCAAGCGATCGCTTCTCCCTGATCCACCATCTGGAAAAGTCGGCGAAGACTTGTTCGGTTGACTTATTATAGTCCGGCCGGATCAGCTTGTCTAGGTTTTGGACAGCGTGTGTTTCATTCCCAAAGACCAGAAGCGCAAAGATTTTATCTCTGGGTTCACTTGCCCGGAGGTCATGACCATCAAGAAAGACATCAAGGATATCCGGGAGCTCCTTGTTGGTTCGCAAACGCTTCCATATCGCTGGCATTGCTGTTTGGGACTGGATATTGTAATCGAAATGCCAGTGAGTGAAGTCCGGATCCTCGAGCCACTCACTCATTTCCCTTAGCTCAATCCAAGGGATCACTTCGTTTGAACTGTGCAAGAAAGCTTGTTGGCTGAGTAAGACTTCTTGCACAACCCAGACCCGCGAGAACCATGGGTTTGAGATGATACTGACCATAAGAGTCGCCAAGCTTGTTATCCTTGATCCACCAGCCCATTCCGCAACATCGTTGGGAAAGCTGGGCTCCAAGAGTCTGAAAATCTCCTCCATGCGATGTAAGGTAATCGCACGCCCTTGAGCTCGTTTTGATTCAACCACCTCATCCACGTCTTTGGCCGTCAATGAGTGACGTGTCCCATCACAGTTGCAGTCCGTCCCTCCAGGACAGTCTTTGAAGTTGTAGTTGTAGACATTCCGAGCAACTCTCAAGCAAGCGTCGACCCCGACATGTCCTTCACCTAGCCAAATATGAACTCTCTCTGCACGTGAAAATATGTCTCGCATCAACGCGACTTGTCGTGATCTTTCTTCGTGGTCCTCCTGGTTGATACAGATAGAATCGATCCATATATGCAAGACTTGATCGCTTCTTCTGAGCCGACGCAGTGCCAAGTCGACTGTCGGGTTGATGTCGAAGGTTCTCTTTTCCGGTTCAAGGTCCGATGAAACCATCATTTCAACTGTATCAAGCGGCGCTCCCCAGCAGTATGAAAGAGCACTGAATTTGATCTCCTTATCATCGAGGTTGGAGATCCTCCATGAAACATCCAACTTGTCTGTGATGTTCGTCGCAGGCTGAACCGTTAAAAGGCGTATCTCCTTTGTTGTGAGGGAGAGTGCAAATGTATAGCTCTCTGCGCCAGGGTAAGGCTTAGGGCACCGTTTTCTCTCCTCTTCGCTAGCTGGTTCATACTCGATTCCAATGCGACATTCGTTCACGATATTGACCCAGCATGGGTACCTGGCCTTTGGTGTGACCTGTACTACATCGCCTGGCTGAAGGGCTTGAACCCATGAGCGTTGGAGAAGGCCACTCTCAGCTGACCAGCGGCTCGTCTGTTCATGGAACTCAGGGTCGGCAAGCTGGTTATGCATAATAATCATGCTCCGCAAGTTGGAGCGACCGCCCGGACGTCGGACTGATGCTTCAAACCAAGTGAATGAAAGAGTATTCTCGGAACTTGCCCAGCCTATTCGCGTAATTAGTTATTCAAGACTATTTCCCTCATAGATCATTTCCAGCTCATGCATCTGACAGACCTTGATCGTGCGCAATAGCCGTGAACGTCACGGCCTCGACGCTTTTAGCGTCAGATGGGATGCGAAGCTCAATGTACGGCCGATCAGGACAGTGGTCATGAACCTGGATTGAGTGGGTGCGACTCGCGCTGCATTTTTTGGTGTTGGCCATCTTGGTGCGCTGTGAGAAACTGTGGTAAGCCGTGGAAGGGGAGCGAGCGGGGGGATGGATGATCGAGAGCTGAACGTATTTGCACCCAGTGAATTAGGCATTAATTATATGCTCCAAGCTGCTGTAGTGTTACCGTGAGCATTTGCGATCCTTCAAATGCCTCGAGGAGCAAATATTGGTCTGTCTGCCGTGGAACGCACTTTTGTCAAAGTCAGGACCAACACAACTTCGTGACCCCGCCTGCAGGTGCAGGCATGAACACGATAACCTGCATCAGGCTGGCTGTGGGAGATGGTTGTCACAGAACTGAGAAGACTGGTCGAGCACGCGCTGTGCCCCATATCTCATGCATATTTGGGCCTCGTCCCCGGCCGTTGACGAAAGCCACTTGCCGCAGTCCAATAATCGCATGGGACAGAGCCAACACAGGTTGCCATGGCGCCATACTCGCACAGGTATTGGGTAGTATTCTGACATCGGCTGCCCACCTGGATGATCATGAGCACAGGGAGGGCTGGTAGGGCAGTTTGTCGTCAAGGGGCTATTTCAGTCTCCCCTGCCAAGCAGCAGAGCGTTTGTGGCTGTGTCAAATGTGGCTGGGTAACTTCGTGGAAGGATTTGTGGCTTTGTGGCTGTGTCGCAGCAGGTGGCCGCCGTAATGGCTTCAACCTTGCGTTCCCCTAGTTGAAATGGGTGTGTGAGGATAGAGCAAAACTGTTGATTGAAGAAGCAAAAGTAATCCGAAAGTCTAGTTGTACAGTTTTAACGACACAGATCGAGGTCACTTGTGTATAGGGTAGGCTAAATTATGAGCTACCCTACACTCAACTTCAACACCCCTCAAGCTTTATCAAGTCAAAGGTAACATATCGCTTTACAAACCCTCGTATCAATAAAAGAAAAACAGGAATTAAATTGTCAGATTATTTCAGATACATGCAATGAGAGGCACCAAAACCGGAAGTCATGAGCGAACCAATCTGAAGCAGGCTGACATCCACAACGGCTGCCTAATGGCAAACGTCACTGATCTGCATCGCAGATTTTGAAAGCATTGCTGACATGATCTTTGCTCCCTCTATTAATGAACACTTGGAATTATCAACCAAGTAAATTTGGTCGTTTGAAGAGATTTACCGCAATTAACAAATACAAGCATTGATGGATGCAATAAACGACGGCATCGCGGGTCTGGTAGATTCGTCTGGCAAGATCCTCCTCGCTTCCTACCGACTCCGCGACCGAATTCCACAGTCCAAAGATGACATTGACGCCCTCATTGTTGAAGTTGAATCACTCTCTATCGTCTCCGAGGACGTTAAAGACTCCTTCACCCAGGCCTCCCGGGAAAATAAACCAGTTGTTCAACTCGAGGTGCCAAGCGAAGATGGACTGCAAGGTCAATCGGCACTGGCAGCTTGTCGATCCGCATTGGATGAGGTCGACAGTATTTTCAAACATCTACTCGATGTTATTGGTCCCTTCAGTAAGCCAGGATACAAAGGCGAGCCCGAATGGGCATTTGATTCGGCTACCTTGACGAAGAAGCTCGATACACTTCGTAAGGCGAAATCGACGTTAAATCTGACGGCGTTCGCTCTCCAAAGCGCTTTATCTCCCGGCGATGAGTCGTCACAGGATGAGAAGAGCTCCCCACCTGGAAAAGATGGCGACGACTTCCAAGTTGTTCCTTCGCAGCGGGAAAAGACCGAAATGTTATCGTGGTATAAGACCAGCGACCCCGAGCGCAAACACATATATTGCCAGGGGATCCGTGAACAGGGAACGGGTTCCTGGATCTTTGCGAATCCCGAATTTCGACGGTGGAAAAATGCCAGACAGCAGTTGCTTTGGCTTCATGCCATACCAGGAGCAGGAAAGACAATCTTAGCCTCAACGATCATCGACCACATGCAAAATTACGTTCGCTCCAAAGTGGGCAATATTGGTCCTTCGGATCGTGTGGTCTACTTTTATTTCGATTTTGCTGATACCAACAAACAAAGCCTTGCAAGTCTCCTGGAGGCCATCGTTTATCAGTTGCTCTCGAAGAATTCCGAACCTTCGGAACTGGTGATGGAGTTACATGCCAGCCTTAAAAGCAGGGGCCGAAATTCAGCCAACGCGGAAGAGCTCCTTGACGCATGCTTTGCTGAGGCTGCTAGCAGTAGCAGGACCTTCTTGATCATCGATGCTCTGGATGAATCACAAAAAGAAGAACGGGGAGAAATCTTTCAGAAGTGCTTACACAAGCTTCTTGCCAACAATTTCAGCGTCCTCATCACAAGCCGCAAAGAGCCTGACATTGAGAATTATTTCGAAGCCTTCTCCCCCCAAGTCATTAATCTCGAAGCGGCGGAGGTTGACGAAGACGTCAGAAAACATGTCAACAGCGTCATAAATAGTGACTCGACCTTGAGTGCAATGCCGCAGGAAATACAGAGGGAGATATGCGATGAGATTGTGGCCGGTGCAGGTGGCATGTGAGTCTCCTCTTGCTCTCACATTAAGACAATGAAAGTGAAGTAGCTGACCATGCTATCACATAGGTTCCGTTGGGCAACGTGCCAACTTGACAGGATCAAACAATGCCTGTCTCCGGCCATGATCCGTGCAGAGCTTCAATCGATGCCTGAAACTTTGGATGAGACATACGAGCGGATTCTGGGCTCGGTGCCTCATGTTCATCGGGAACTCGTGCAATCGGCGCTGAAATGGTTAGCCTTCTCTTCTCGGCCGCTACTGCTGGAGGAGCTGGCAGAAGCTGTGGTCCTGAGCCCGGGACACGGGGATTTCAACCCGGCATCCTCCCGACTTTTTACGGCAAAGGCCATCGTGGACCTTTGTGGTGTTCTGGTTGCGCAGACCACAATCGATCCACGCAGAGAGAATTTGCAGTGGATAAGGAAGAAGGGAGAGGTTGAGGCTCGTGGCAGACAGAATTTCTACAACAAGATGGCCACTGTTGTCTCTTTGAGTCATTATTCCGTCAAGGAATATCTCGTATCCTCCAGGCTTCAAGAGAGTGCTTTCTCTGGTTACCATGCTTCCGAACAGGAGGGTAACTCTTTCATCGCCCGCAGCTGCCTCTTTTATCTGACGCAGTTCAACCAGGGCAAAGTTGCTTCGGATCTGAATTTTCAAGAGTGGCCGCTTCTGCAATATGCCGCGGTGGAATGGATAATGCACTGGGACAAGGCGGGTATTATGAGAACCGACGACACTCTCCGCCAGGTTTACGAGAAGCTCTTTCAGCCAGAAGATGCCAGGGCCTACATCAACTGGCTCAACATCTATTCCCCTGATCTTGACTTCGAAGCCCGGTTTGGCTACCGTTACTTCGATCCAATCAAGCAATCAGCAGATTTATTTCCCCAGCGGCTATACTGGGCGGCTCTTCTCGGAGACCCGCTGCTCATGGAGCCGATGATCAGTCGAGGAGCTGACATTCACGCGCGAGGAGGCTATTTTGGTTCTGCTCTGGGCGTTGCTGTCTTCCGCGGGCACACTGAAGTGGTGGAGAATCTTCTTCAAGCCGGGGCAAGCCCCAACACAGAATCTAATAGGTTTGGAAGTGTTCTTCAAATCGCAGCCGTGGGAGGCTCCAAGTACATGGTAGAGCGCCTTCTGCGGGCTGGTGCCGATGTCAATGCCCCAGGTGGCCAGAAATGGGGCTCTGCTCTCATCGCCGCGGCTGCCAACCAGCATCATGATATTGTGTCTCTTCTGATTGGAAACGGTGCTGACCTCAATGGTGGCGTTCAAGAGACGGGGTCGGCGTTGTACGGAGCAGCAGTGGCTGGTGATGTGAAGCTCGCGAGAGTTCTCCTGGCTGCCGGCGCTGATGTGAACGGCTCTCCGTCCAGCCATGATCCCTCTCCCCTCTACGGAGCTACAAAAGCAGGCTCCTTGCCGCTTGTGAAGCTACTCATTAGTCATGGTGCTGATGCCAACAAAGCAGGTCCAGACGACATTTCAAATGCAAAATATCCTCTTCAGGTTGCCGCCCACGATGGTCTAACTGAAATCGTTTGTTTACTTCTTTCGGCGGGCGCAGATGTCAACAAAAAGGGGAAATATAAAGCTACAGCCCTTGAGGAAGCGATTTCCCATAAGGAAGAAGCGATGACCATAAGCAAGATGCTTCTGGATGCCGGGGCGGATATCAACGCCGACTCTAGCTCCACGTTTCATGACTCGATATTCTCAAAGGCTGTGTCCTATCGTCGTTTTGATCTGGCTAGAATGTTGCTCGATCACGGCGCTGAGCTGAACCCGCGTGGAGTGTCAGGTGCTGTTATAGCATACAAAAAGGCTCCGTGGGTATTCGAAGCGTTCATGGAGAGGAATGTTGATGTGAATGTCTCCGCACCATATTCTGGCAGCCCGTTAAGCACACCATTACACGTGGCCGTGATGAAACGTGACTGTGGTGATGAGTATGTTGTGCGGAAACTCTTGGAGAGAGGTGCGAATGTCAATGCCATTAACGAAAGTCAATACACCACACCTCTCGTTTTGGCTGCGAAGGGTGGTTCAGCCAATATTGCCCGACTGTTGATCGAATTCGGGGCGGATATTCAACGCACTATCAATTACTCTGCGTTTGAAATGGCAATAGCCCATGCTTGTAAAGATGGTGGATCACTTGAAGTCGCGGAGATTCTCTTGGAAAGTGGTTTCAACCTAGCTGAGAACACGGAGATGGCGTAAGTCTGAAAGATGTTATATCTGATCCCGGATTGAGGTAAATTGCTAACCTTTACTTTCTCTATGATACAGACCGTTCTGGCCAATACAGACGCCCAAGCCCGAGATCCTACGCTGGTTATCGCACAAGGGGCTTGACTTGAATAGGATTCTTGGCCCTAAAAAACGGGCAAAAGGCGGCTTTATCTACGGTGATTTCCGTGGCAATAGCTTGACCCCAATCCAGCTTGCAGCTAAAGACGGCAGCGTTGACATGCTCCGGTTGCTTCTTGAGCTAGGGGCCGACGTCAATGGACCAGACGAACAAGTTGAGACAACCCTGCATTATGGACTCAAGTCGGGTGATAAAGACGTGGTCCAGTTTCTCCTGGACAATGGAGCCCTCGTCAAGAGGGGCTCAAATCTAATCTGGCATGCGATCAAGCATGATCTGGACGAATACGTCCCCGTTCTCGTTGAGAAGGAGGTCGACCTGAATCAGGAATATCAGAATCAAAGCCCCCTTGCGCTGGCTTTTTCATCTGGAAAGCACAGCCTTGTCCAGTATCTTTTAAGCCAAGGTGCCACATTCTCCACAGGTAGTGCTGAGCTTGCAAGAGAGCTTGCCACGAAGGGGTCACTCGATGACCTGAAATTCCTACTTGATCATGGCCTGGATCCAAACAGCAAGCGGGGAAATTATGTATCCTTACTTGCAGCCGCTTGTGCAAATGCAGATTTAGCCGTTTTAAAGCTTTTGATAGATACAGGAGTGCAACTAAGTGGAAAGACTTGTCAACATGCGTTTGGGGGCGCCTGCAAAACTGGTCACATTGAGATGGTAAAATTCCTCTTCGAACATGGTGCCGATGTTGACATCGCAGCAGCACTACAGGAGGCCTTCAGTGCGCCTAACAACCTCGTAATGGTCGAGCTTCTTATGGAACGAGAGAAAACTGTTCAACCAGATCTTGGAAAATGCTTCCAGGCAGCAGCGAAAGCAGACTGCCAAAAGTCTATCTCCTATCTTCTCAAATTGTCAAAGAACCCGTCCGAAACCGCAAAATGTCTGGGACAAGCCCTCCAGATAGCGGCAAGCAACTCCAATTTAGCTCTTTGCAAGTGGTTAATCGACGAGCACGACGCAAACGTCAATTACTTTGGCCTCCCTGAAGGAAGCCCCCTTCAGGCGACCCTCGGCCATGTTTACAGTAAAGAGGGGACCCAAATGCTCGTTTTCCGTCTGCTCCTCGAGCGAGGTGCCAATGTCAACCCCCCAATGATGGGGAAGAAGCCGGAGACCCAGACGCCCTTCAGCAGAAAACGTTATTATTTGAGTTATCCTATCGACATTTCCACTACTTTCGCATCGCCCCTTTCGCTTGCTATCGCAGGCGGGCGTTGGGGCAGCGCTCAAAAGCCATTCGTGGAGCCACTGCTGGATCTCGGGGCAGATGTAAATGGGTTTGGCGGACAGTACCACTCTCCTCTTCAAGCCGCCGCACTCCGCTACCCGGAGATGGTCGGTCCACTGCTTGACGCAGGTGCCGATGTGAATGCAACAGATGATGAGAGCGTATTCGGCACAGCACTTCATGCTGCTGCGTACAACAGAGACCTGGCCACCGCCAAGCTCTTGCTCGACCATGGGGCGGATGTGAATATCATTGCGGGCGACCATGGAACCGTGCTGCGAGCAGCTGCCCGTGACGACTCGCGTGGCGGTAGCCGGCAGGCAACAATCGAGATGATGAATCTGTTATTTGAGGCAGGCGCGGATGTTCACGCGCAGGATCATGAAGGGAACTCGGCGGTACAAGCAGCTGCTCAACAGGGGAACGTTGGAGCGTTGGAATGGCTGAGAGATCACGGCGCGGATATCTGCGCCAAAGGCGGGAGCAAAGGCAATGCGTACCAGGCCGCGCTCAAGAACCTCAAGAACAACCGTTGTGTTGAATGGGAGGCCGTTACATGGTTGGAGAAGCATTACGGTAGGGACTGTTGGGACTGTGACCTTCTCCCATAGACGACAACTCTCAACTACGGAGCTTCTACCCTCGTCGTATCATAGCATTATCTATGTCTAATCGCGGCTAGACTTCAGAGTAGCTGGGATTGACTTTAATTCTGAGGATGCGATTAAAAACCCAAATACAAAGTTCAGAGTGATGGTGAATCGACCTATTTTACCTGTGAAAATGGAGATTGTCCACTTGTGTCGTAAGTATTGACCAATTGAGCCATACATGAAAGAGTTTAAATGCTACATTAGATATCTCCAAAACAAGTCTCAAACCTTGAAACCCATTTCAAGAAATAAATTTGCGACGGCACATCAAGTATATAGTCCAATGAGAGCAAGAAGGAAGAAGGCGGAGTATGTATGGTCTTGGCAAAGTCCGAATGGGGAAAAATAGGAGACACAAAAAATTAACCTTAGTGAGCCTCGGTCGTGAGCTTCGGTCTCGGTGCTGACAGCATCGTCATTGTTGCAAGCAGGTCTCACCCCATGGCTACGCGAAATAGGACCCGTTGAGGCTGATGATTCTGACCAAGCAGAAGCAGACGGGAAGGGTCATGGTCTGGAGATTCCAAATACATATTCCAAATACATAGCTTTTCTCTATCCTTGACGAAGAAATAGGTTACAACAAGAGTTTCTGTTCAGCCAATAATGGATTTCTGTCTCATCCTCTACCATAACCCTTACTACCGTATCTCAATGATCCTATAATCAAGCTAGATAGTCCGGATACCTCCCGCCTGCGGTCCCGTTGTGATCAGCCTGTTGCCCCATGCCAAGGCCATCTGCTGTTGACGCCCAGCCAAGGTGTGGCTCAGCAGGGAATCTCACCTACCGCTGTTTCTTTCCCAATGCGGTAATATCGTCAAGCACCAAATCTCCACGGGTTGAAGCGGGTCCCGGTAAATCTGAACTGCACTGGACTAGCATAGGGCTGCAGTCTTGATTTTGTATTTAATAAAGGCATAACCTAAGGTTTCATGAATGATTTCAAGCCAGATCAGAATCCACTTCAAATAAATTCAGCTGTTCAATTGTTGTATCTCTACCTAGCTGTTGATACACCTCCCTTCTCAAAACCATTATGCCCGGTATTCCCAGATCCAAAGGGTGTCGTTCATGCAAAATCCGAAGGATAAAGGTATGCGGCGATTGGTCTATCTGTGGAAGTTTTACTTACATGTCTTTCCAAGTGCGACGAGAATTGGCCCGCCTGTTCTCAGTGCGTCCTGAGAGGGTACGACTGCCCCGGACCAACCTCCTTGGTCAAGTTTATCACAGACGGTAACCACAAGAACTCCCGGTCGGAATTATATGTGGAAAGGGGAGACGCTTCAACATCATGGGTGTCTGAAGTATGTGCTCGACCTAAAGGATCCACCCAGTCTCCTGAGCCCGAATGCCCAGACAAAAGAAGACGACCAGCCAACATAGCAGCCATTCCTGCTGCTCATCTCACTTGCTTCCGGCTCCCTTCCAAGGTACGGCCTCTGCCTACCACAGTCACAGATCGTCTCGCTGCTCAGTTAGTGAGCCACCTAAATCGGGCTTCTGATCGCGGCATGATTCTGTCGAAGACCTATCTGCAGTACATTCCCAGCCGGCTCGGATACTTCCCATGTCTCCGGGATACGATCGCCCTTTTCTGTACTGTCTGGTCTAACTTCCGCCGCGGGAGACAGTCTCTTGACTTTATTAATTTACCCGCCTATGGGAAAGCAATCCGGAGCTTGCGCCGTGCCTTGGGAACTCAGCAGGCATTCGCTGTGGAGACACTGGCAGCCGTCACGATTTTGCAAAGGACCGAAGAGTTATTCAATCCTGGCGGGCAAAGAATGATACACGACCAGGGAATGACGACTCTTTTGGAAAATATAGGACCGCCCGAGTCTGGAGATGAGTTTCATATCAGCGTGTTGTGCGAGGATTATAGCATTCTGGTATGTTGGGCCCCTTGTTTGCCATTCCGTTGTGCCAGGCTTGGAGAGAAATGCCTGTTTCTGAGCGTGAGAATAACTAATGGTGATTCTTAGGTCCCTTATTGGATCATGTCAGGATGGAAAAATATCATGAACGAGTCACCTTTCAGAACCCCAATTATTGAAGGGTTCGCAAGATACACAGAGAACAAACGATTTGCCCCGCTAGTGCAAGCAGCATTCCACAGGTTTGACGCCGTCACAAAAGCACTGCCCGTCTTAATACGTGCCTGTGAGTCCCTTTGGAAGCCTTCAAATGGCGAGTTCCAGGACAGTTCCAGCATATACATTACGAATTGTTTCAAGGAGGCGCATGAGGTGGCAGAAGGCATCATGACCAAGTTCCTAGAGGGAGCTCTGGCCACAGGCGACATCAAGGAGAAAGTGGATGAAGCTTCTCTCTGTGAAACAAGCTATTACTTTTCGACCATCTATTTGGCACAGATCTTCCTTGGTCTGACCAGTGTCCACATATGCATCGTTCGGATGCGGTATGACTGGAGCGCTGCCCATGGGCTCCCAGAAACGAGGAGTATATATTCGAAGCTGAGAGAGCTTTCAGAGCATGTTTGGAAATATGCGAGATTTCTACGCAGCGTCGAATCTTTCATTGGGGTCACATCGCAGCGTTCTCTCTATCTTACTCTTGAAGTTGCAGGAGCCGACGAAAAAGAGTATCTCTTGGACTTGATTTCAGATATGGACAGCTTTCGAAGACGGCTTCCTGTGCAGAGGGATGATTTAGAGGCGCAAATTCTCATGTATGCGAGACTCTTGACGGGCCGAAAGCCATGATGACTCGAGTCGTGATGCTGTTGTTGCATGGCAATGATGACTGCTCGGAAAAGAAAAGAGATCAGGAGTCGTTCAATTTTTAATGGAATCTATATAGAATATCATATCATTCATAAACTATCAATGACCGTGATCACAATATTGACAGAATTTGTAAAGAGGATGTTATTGAGTAGATCCTGCATAGCCAGAAAAGCTAAATTGTCTTTAACACTTTATCCTTTGTGACTCATTCAAAGTTTGAGATTCCTAAACCCTTGAATTAGACTTCAGGAGACGACTGTGCTTGTTTTCTCTCATTTTCGATTCTCTTCTCCCTGTCTGCCCGCCCTTCACTATTCGGGTCATAAAATGCTAGAGCCAGGGGTCAAATCAGCACACCATCTTACTGTATTGAAAGTTGATAGGGTACATCTGCTTACGCTTCTCGCTGAAAACGGTTGTGCGTATTCCGCGCCGCGGACTTTTGTAAGAACCTGGGATAACCCGGTGGATCACGCACCGATTGTCCCACATTGCTACAGCGCCAACAGTCCATTTCCATCGAACGAGGTGATCATCCGCGGAATGAATGTGGTGACTGAAGAAGTCGAGTAGTCTGTCTGCATTGTGAAGACAGATAATTAGTGATGCACGTATCTAGTTCTTTGTTGGAAAATATCTTACCTGACTCGGCTTTCTTCAACTCGGCGAAGCCTGACACAAACCCCAAGTTTACATTCAATGACTTGAGGCCAGTCACTGGATGGGTTCTAACAGCGGGATGATGCGTATCAATAGGCGGACGGTTAGGTCCCACTCCCCAGAGATCCAGGATTGTTTCGTATTGTAGCTAGGCATTGTCAGCAACTGGGTGCGGGTTGGAGAGGAGCGCGTAGAATAACTTACTCTTGACGTATGAACCGCATGAAGCCCTTCCAAAAGTCGCTTATAGGGTTCACTAAGGGCGTCGTAAAGCCCGTACCCCGAAATCCACGCCGTGTCTCCTCCCACTTCCGGGTGTTCCTCCATCCGGAGCAAGGAGTAAGACGGAGGGTTGAGCTCGAATGACGTATCCGCATGCCATTCATCTGAGCGCCAAGGGGTATACTTGGATATCTCCCTATGGTCCTTGGTGCTTCCCCGGATGACGACATGCTTGACGTCCTTCTGCGCAGGATGCTTGTCCAGGACACCGTAATGTTCAAACAGTTTCTCCTGCTTCTCAGTCGTGAGGTCCTGGTCTCGGAAAAAGACAACACCTCTCTCCGATACAAGCAGGGCTAATTCATCAAGCTGAGTCGGGGTCAATTGCGAGAGCTGTACATCCTCGAGGAGCGTTCCGATCGACTCCGTCAAATCTGACCTTTTAGCAACAGAGAAAAGATCTCGCTTTTCCGGGTCTGCAAAGCTAGCTCTGTCAGGAGAGGGAGTGATCTCATCTCTGATCGGGTCTGGGGGTACGTGGTTCTTGATTTTGTCGTTGAAAAGGGGATGCAAGGTGATAGGCTTGCCAGATTCAGGAGATATATGCTTGTAGGACTCGAGATGCGACATGATTACGTGAGGAGACGAGATTTGTGATTTTTGTGATGTTCAAGTATTCAATGAGTTTGTTTCCACCCGAGTTGTTGAATTATTTGAGTGATGTACTTGTATTGGAGGATATCTAATTCCGTCCAATACTGCTGGAACTAATGCGACATTTATCAGATGGTCTACATACTGGATATGATGATGCCTTATCCTATTGGCATGACGATATGGCTCGATTAGTAATTATACCTATTGAAGGCAACCTAACATGACATCCAAGTCTTGGTTCAAGAAATCTTCAAATTCTACTCGCTATTGAGTCCTGATAGGTGGCAGTATCATACATCCGGGTCCGGATGGCTCATACGGTTGGCTGATTGCGTGATCATTGTGAGCTGAAATCGGACTCCTTCTGTCGAGCCTAAATACCCTCTCTTTTTCTGTCGACCAAAAAAGACTGTCTCTCCACACTTCTAAGAGCATTGGGGCACCTTTCGTCTTTGTAATTTTTGATTGGTCATAGAGTTGGTTGTTGGCTCTTTGGTGTATAGCCATCCCAAAGGTTCCCTTCCATTGGTACTGCAAAGCCAAGAAGAGGAGGACCTATCTGCCTCTGAATATCGCCTAGTCTTGCGTCTTCTATACATTTCCAGATCCTCCGTCGATTGCGAAGACCTAGAGGAAGGCGCAGCGTCTCATCCTCAGGACGATAGATGTCAGTCCCGGATAGCTTGTCAACCAAAAGCTCCCAGTTCCAATCACCTGTGCGTTGCTTCTTGCGGACTACGTCTTCGTCCAAGTCCCACAGCCAAGGAAGTTCCTTTTTGTTGATTAATTTATTATACCCCCGATCTTGGTCTTCTAAATCAGTTGAAGTTGCCTCGCTGCGAATCCCCGGAACATATAGTTCCAGATTATCCAGGATGCACTCAGTCAATTGGGGCACTTCGATTGGGTCTGCTTCTACACACTAATATTATCATTAGAACGGCTCCCAAAAAAATGAAATGGAATTTGACATACTTCACCAGCCAACGGGTTATTATCTGGCTCCCACTCTGTCAAATGAAGAGAAGTAATGCCGTAATATCGGGTCGGGTGATCTACATTATAGGCAAACCCACGCCCAGATGCCGGTATCCGAGTAAAGATGACTTGCCACAGTTGTTTGACGGAAGAGATCTCATCTTTGTCGCTAATCTGGAATACGTCGTGGGTTTCGGGTCTGCTGCTGATAAAGCGCTGGACCAGCTGGGAACACTTGCCATGAGCAGCGAGGTATAGAGCGCTCTCATTGCCAACAACGTGAAAGGCGGGGACCTTTTCACCTGATTCTGAGATCAAAAACATGTTATGCTCCTGATATGTGGCCTCCTGCTCCAACACTCGTCTTTGGGAATCTTCAACCGGATCGACAAGGTCATAAGGTAGGTAGGTATGCATGCCTAATTCCCACTTGTACATGTCTGACTCGGGGCCGTCTTTTGCATTATGGACAGTAGTCCAAAGTGTTGGATGGCATAGCCATTCGCCCGGCTCATTTTCACTACAACGCCACTAGGAGAATGACATACTTGGTCATGCGAATGATTGCTCACCGGGTACCAGATTCTAAAAACGGGCCTCCGCAGATACAGCAGTAGACCTGGTTACGGCCCATATCGTCTGATGGTCAAGCAGAATGGGAGATGGTCGAAACACAGAACCGAATGTCGAAAGAGGTTACGCGTGAGTGGGCGGAAAGCATTGAGGGGATCTAGTTTCAACCATTCAAATGAAAGAGATTCTCCCACACAAATACTGCCCAAGTCTAATAATAGGACCAAGCAGTTGACGACTAAAGAGTAAAAGTGAGCACTAGCGGATTTAAGCCCAACGAGTGCGATGCGGTGACCAGTTATTAGCTGGCCGAGTCTAGGGTGGGAGGATGAAGAGATGCGGGAACATTTCACCAGCAGAGAGCAGTGCTGATCTTTTCCTCTCTTAACACTCCGCAGGTGCGATATTGTTGAGCTCCAATTTTGGCTCATCTACTGACCGACCAACATTTCCAATTTCAAGCTCCTTCCAGTCCTCTTGCCGAGATTATCTTGATGCAACAGCGCATTTAGCAGATGGAAACCTGATCGATTATATGGGAGCAGCCTCAGCAATTGATGAGAAGCCTCGGATAACGATTCTGGTGGGAATGGAATTATGTAAGCCGCAATGGAGCTAAATGGATTGAGGAAGATGGCCTGATCATTGATGAAGTGTTGTAGGGCCACGCCGGATGACACATTTGTGCATGTGAACAGCCAAGTGGCGATGAGTCAAGTTCCAGAGTCCATGATCAAGTGAGAATATTAACAGATGAGCAATTGCAATAGATAAGTAAATGTCAGTATTTGAACTGAAGCAGCTGAAGTATGGCTCTTATCCACATGCCAGAGTGACCCCCACCATCAGAATACAATGGAGGGGATGATGCCCGCCTGAGTTACATCTGATCTGATTGATCAAGGTTCGCGCCCGAAAAAATACAGTAAAACGCACAAGCGAGTGGCGCTGGGCTGAGCTGAGTTGAGCCGGGGCAAAGCAAAGCAAAGCAAATCGAATCACGAGACCGCAATTCCTGCTTATTTAATTTGTGCGTTTCACCGTCTAAAAACCGCAACAGCTCATTTTCTACGTCATATCAATACTACAGCTCAGCATATTACAGCACAGATACAGCACACACACACACACAGCAGAGTGTGATCTTCACTGACAAGATCCAGCATGGCCATCTCCAACCACACCCAAGCCATCGACCCTGGTGCCATTCGCCGCCTGGATGGACTCTCCGAGACAGTCACAGAAGATATCCTGGACGACATCTACGCCCGCATCCATGTCGATGTGGACGGCTTCCTGGACAAGTACTTCCTGAGCCCCTCGTCAGCACCAGCCCCTCCTCCCACCGCCAGCGCATTTCTCAAATGGCTGGCCACACACCTCGCCGACAACGCCAATTGCGGCAGATGGAAGCTGTCTCTGCCCCCCAAGGCCACCGTCGACAATGCCGCCGGCGCAGATCTGGTCCTGCTGCGCCCAACGGAACCCGACGCAGCCGCCCAGTCCCAATGGGCCCGGGTGGGCGTCATCGGCCAGTTCAGCCGGGACAATGGCCCTGCAGAGTACGAGGAGGGCTTCCTGCGCTTCTGCAACCAGGCCCGCGACGTCTTCGCCAACCAGCCCACGCGGTTCTTCATCCACGGCTTCTACATCTGCGGCCAGACGATGGAGCTGTGGGTCTTTGATCGATCGGGCATGTACAGCAGCTCGGCTATCGACATTCAATCTGAGTTTAGCCAGTTCCTGTCCGTCATCGATCACTACGCCCTGCTGGACGACGAGGAGCTCGGCATTGCCCAGGTCCTCAAGGCGGACAAGATTGGCCAGTTTGTCGAGACCCATGGAAAACATGCAGAAGGACTGGAGAGGCTGTATCTGGAGCACAAGCCGATTGCCAGGTCGGAAAATCTCTTTGGCCCCGGCACGACGGCATATCGGGCAAAACTTCCTAGCTCGGATCGATGGAGTCATGTTGTCAAGTTCAAGTGGCGGACCAAGAACGATGGCAAGGAGGAGGATATTCTGCAGGTTATCAAGGAGAAGAATGTTTGGGGTGTGACGTCCATCGACTACTACGAATACATTACGCGGACGTCGTACCTGCGTGGAGGCCTGCAGTATTCTTCGTACCGGAGATTTGTCCCTGACCTGGGCAAGAAGGAGGAACTGGTCAAGACGTGGGATTCGTCCGAGCAGGATATTTACGACTACACCGAAGAGTCCGGGAAACCCTTTGAGGATCTCATCCTCACTTGCGTTGTCACATCCCCCGTCGCAAGGAGCTTACGCTCGTTCAAGAGTCGAACAGAGCTACTCGAAGCTCTACGAGATGCCATCAAAGCCCACAGGTCGTTATTAACAGGGGCTCGGATCATTCACCAGGACATCTCCACGGGAAACATCCTCATCACAGATGCACCGAGAGACAACGAACCGAGAGGAATACTAATTGATCTCGATGTGGCGACACAGCTCGACTCGGGGCGAAGTAACGCGAGGGAAATCACGGGCACCCCGCCGTTCATGGCCATTGACGTATTGAAGGGTAGACGACATACATACCGACACGACTTGGAATCATTCTTCTACGTATTTGTGTGGCTTCTCATTTCAAATGGAAATGACGATCCTCCCGATTCCAGCAGGCTACAGAAATGGGTTGGAGAGTCATTCGACGAACTAGCGGAGCAGAAGCTGAAAGACATGAGGCAGGAGGACTTTGCCAAGATCATTGCCGAGTTTCCACCTGAGTTCGAGTCACTAAGAGGGTCAGCTGAGGAGATACGCCAGATCCTGTTCAAATCTAGGGATGGGTCTTCCTTGTGGACCGGTACGGATGGTAGCTCAGAAGCGATGCAGGACATGTACAGGAGAATCACTGATGTTTTTGATAGAGCGATTACGTCCGATAGACTGTAGAGGTCACTTTAGAAATCAGATGAAGTAATTTTCAGGGAAGGGGGACTTAGAATTGCATACAAGTTCGACAAATAAATCAGGAACAAAAATTTCCATGAAATCATACATCGTTTGCAAAACATTTAAAATGATCAAGAGTTCCCGCGTCGGTCTTTCCTGAATGCGGCTTTTCAAATTCCGCTCATACATCACTCAACCGTGATCTCTTCATCTCTCTTATGTTAGGGACCAACAACATAAAAACCTGGACACAGGTTAGAGGCTGAATGCAGCATGAAATCCAGCTGACGAGATTAGTCAGTGGAGTCGTACTGAAATTTTTAACTGCGCATGTTCAGCTTTGTTATCACTAATAATAGGAACTGTTGGTTGTGATTGCGGAATTTCTGCACAATTCCCCGTCTGCTGACGTCGACCAACTCTCATCACTTGCCGAGATAGACAAGACATTTGCCTTAGTGCGATACCCTAGTACCAGAAACTAGGTAAAGTCCATCGATTCGGTCTGGTGTTGGTTCATCATGGCTGCCATCCAGCTCGCAGTTGACACTCGTTGGGAGTATCACACCACCTCCTCATCTCACCCATCACAGACCTCCGCTCTCTGCCCAGAAGCTGCCTACGTCTCACTAAGGCTTCCTACTTTGGGGTCAGAAAATGGACACAGTCCTTCAGATTCGCTTGTTGTCCATCGCATCGTATTCACCACCGAGTCTCACGACCAAGGCTTCAGCGACAACGAAAACGACATCAGCACCTACCGCGGCTCCAACTCCTTCTTCGAGGCTCACGTATCAGATCCGTCCACCGGGGCTCTACGCGTGCCACAGCGCCGCATCCAGTATAATTTGCACGCGAGCGATGTGTTCCGCACCCACACAAATATCTGGGACAGGCGCGATGAGGCCTTGGCCGAGGCTAGTCCTGGTGCTGCCGCCTGGGTCAATAGGACAGAGAGCAAGGGCCTGTCGCTGTCTGAGTGGCTGGGTGAGCTCCGCGGAGGTGATGTTATCATGATCGTACCCAAAGCCTGGTATCCCGGATGGACCAACGTCGTGCGGTTCGCTCGGATCGAGGTCTGGGCTGAGTTTGTCTCAACCCGGCCATCAGTACACCAACCTCTGTTCGGGACAACTGACAAGAGTCAAGACTTTTATCGGCCATTGAGTTTCGACAAAAAGGAGATCCGGTTGGTCGTCGTTGAGCCCGATCACCGGGGCGCAAGCGAGGATGCCACCCTCCGGCTGTCAGTCCGATATTCGTCGCTGGAGGATCTAAATCATGTGCCATACGATGCACTGTCGTACTGCTGGGGAGACTCTGCAGAAAGGGAGTCGGTGCTCCTCAGCGATGGCGAGTTGGGTCTACAAGACACTGAGATTTACATTCGGAAGAATCTCGCATCGGCCCTTCGGCACCTCAGGTCTTTGGACGAGCCAGCAGTGCTTTGGGTCGACCTGCTGTCAATCAACCAAGCCGATCCTGAGGAACGTTCTCACCAAGTCGCACTGATGGGAGAGATATTCGCATCCGCCCGGTCGGTCCGCGTGTGGCTTGGAGAGGCGGATGACTTGGTGACTGAGGATCTTGGCATAATTCGATCAGTTGCCCAGCGATATCACGACAGGTTGAGGAACAACCCCGAGCTCGGACTCCCAACTTCGCGACAAGCGCATGAAATGATCGCCCACGAGACCTTCATCTTTGTAGACGCCGACTCTATCTTCATCCGGCCCTGGTTCCGACGTGTCTGGGTGCTGCAAGAGGTCTGGAACCCGCCGTCTGGAACCAAAGGGTTGCAGCGCCAAGTTACGGTCCATTGCGGGAAAGAACAGCTCCCGTGGGAAGACATTGCGCAGGCGAATCGCTGTATTTACGATCAGCTCAAGTATCTCAACAATTACACTATGCCGCGGCTTCTCACGGGCCTGTTTGACATCACTCGAGATCGAGAATCGTCCGTCCTGACCTGTGTTCCCGCCGACCGCCGCGACATATTGAGCATCGTCCTGGATGGACTCGATCTCCAGGCCACCGACCCCCGAGACAAGATTTTCGCACTGCTCATCTTCGGCCACAAGACTCACAAGATTGCCACGCTGCCGACCTTGCTCAGGCCTGATTATACCAAGAGTGCTGGACGGGTGTACGCCGACTTCACGCGTTGGTGGATACTCGAGCATCGATCGTTGCGCATCCTATCCGCTGTTCACGCTCTCGTGGGCAGGCAATGGCTCCAGCTCCAGGCGCACGATGGGAATCTACCCCAGCAGCATAGTCCCTCCTGGGCTCTCTGGTCAGCGGGCCATAGCTCCTGGGTGAGGGGCACACTCGTCCTCCAGGATGAAGCCTGCGTATATAGTGCCTGCAGCGACCGCAAGACTATCGATGAGGAACTCCTGACACTACCCGTGGCAGCCGGTAGGGAAGAAGCCGACGGCCTCGCCATGAAGCTTAAGCTTCGGGGAGTACGGCTTGGCTCGATCGCGGCTGAGCCAGCCCACTATCCGTACTTTCAGCAGCCGCCCTTGTCGGCAGGTCTCCAAGGGGCATACATGCGAATCTTTGACCCTCCGTGTACACTCGGGACGTGGCAGAATGCACGCAACGCCAGGGGGGAGCTGGGGAAGTACGATGTTCATTTCAATGAACTGTTTCGGCACTATATAGCACATTGGGAGAGGTACCCGCCTTACCCGCTCACCAGTAGCGATTCTCAGAGCGAAGCTGAGAGCGGTTCTGAGACTGAGGTCCAGAGTGATTCCGAGAGCGATGCCCGTAGCGGTTGCGAGAGTGATGCCAAGACTGGGTCTGATGACGATTGCCAGTGTGATTCAAGCGACGAGGAGCCGACTTGGCTCCCCTGCCATGGAAAATGCATGTTCAAGACCGACGATGGTGGGCTTGGGCTCTGTCCTGGGACGGCGATGGCGGGAGATGTGGTTGTGATCTTCTATGGCGGAGACGTGCCCTACCTGTTGCGGCCGTCCGGAGAACTTGGAACGTATCACTTTATTGGGGAGTGTTATTTTGATGGTGTCATGAGTGGTGAGGCATTTGCCCCTGATAGGAACTTGGCCGAGGAAATATTTGTGTTGGAATAGAGAGCCTGGCAGATTCTTTCTAGGAGCAACCGGTTGTGGTTGATGAACGAGATGTATCCTCGGGCGGTAGGGTCCTAGCCTTTTCCAGAATATGCCTCATGACTCTACCGTGTGTTTATTTGAAAACGGATGATGGTTAAAATCGAAGATGAGTCCTAGGATTAGGCCTGGGCTGGCAACAGTTCGTCAGACGAGCAACCATCTAAGTGATGAAAGCGCCCATCTGAAGATTGCATGTGAAGGGTTTAATGGGGGTATTTTGAGGCCTTTGGTTAGGAATTTACGGCTAAATTTGAACCGAAGAGAAACAGAGGGCGAAGGCTTTGTTATTAAGAGCAGAATATATGGACCTACACAAATGACAATGAGTGAGGGGGCAAGGGGGATGCCACGATAGGTGGGGACGGTCGACATTGTATGCCGTTTCGGGAGAAATGCAGCGCGGTACGAGGCGAGTCAATTACTCTAGGGACCATTGTGAGTTGATCGAAAAGCCTTGGAAGTACCAAAACGATTTTGTGATTTTTGGAATTGAATAAGTAAAGAAGAGGTTTGCAAAGGGAACGTCTCTCGTTGTATCGACACAAATCCTTTCATGCCACTCTGTCTCGATGTTAGGACCGGCAGTGCGCTATCCACATACCTGGATGCAAACTGCTCAATCAAATTTAGATCCCAAACCTGTACATTGTGAGTCTCCCCAGATTCACCCTTGGACAAGATAGCCAACTTCCCATGTCCTGTCCTCGCATTCCTGATGAAACCAACTGGCTCCTGAAGGTCAACGAGCCACTTTCGGCTTTGCCAATTCCAAAGCTTGATACGCCCGTCCTTTGTTCCAATAGTGACTAGAACTTGACCAACCCTACCAAGCCCCCGAACTGGGACTTCATGCGCAATAAAGCTGTGGATGAGCTCACCATCCTGTGTCCAAGTTTTAATCGTTCCATCAATCCCACCAGTCAGTAGGTTTCCATCATTGGTATCTAGGTAGAGTGTATAATGCCTGGCTTCAGTTTGTCGTTCTGCCTTCATTGTGCTGATGAATTTTTGGTTAGTCGGTAATGCAGCCCAATGCCTGAATATCTCTTACCCATTCTTCCAGTCCCAAATGCGAACTTGACCAGTGCCGCCGCCAGCACGAAGGAGAGAGCCATCAGGGCTAAATTTCAGAATCGAGGTGTCCTCCGGGTGCCTTTCCAACACTTGAATACATTCGCCGGACGTTGCGTTCCAAATTCGTACAGTTCCATCCTCAGATGCAGAAAACAACATGCTCTCCATGCTTTCTAGCCGGTTTATCCGCCCTGTATGACCCTGGAGAGTGTGAGTAGGCTCTTGCTTCTCTCGCTGCCATAGCAGAATCTCGCTACCATAGGTAGAACTAGATGCATATTGGGACTTGTTGATGAATGCAACAGAATTTGCCATCCCGCCCCCGATAAAGTCCTGGATGTGCGTACTATTTTTTTTATTAGATAGCGGTAGCATTGAGTTGAGATAAATATGTACGTACCCGTTTTCAAAGTTTCACAATCCTACCTTGCCAGCGGCATCCCATGTAGCAACAAGCAAGAGGGTAGACTCCGGGTAGCACTTCACCTCCCAGTTTAGCCCAATATCAAACTCGGCTTGTTTTCCCGGGCGGAGGGTATCATGGCTATACACGACACATCTTTGCGCGGCAGCGATGAGATACTTTTCAGTCAGAGTGAAACCATAGACCATGGCCAACTTGGGGGAAACCTCGAGTTGGAAAGCACAAGACGGTTCCATGTTGAGTAGATAGAATGGGTAAGCTTTTATGGGCTGAAAACGCAGGTATGGAGTAGAAACAAGAGCGATATTTCGATGTAATGAAAATGGATTGTAATAAAATAAAAGGCTAGGAACAAACAAAAGTCGGGGGAAGAGATATTTATAACTGGGAGCGGGGTGGGTTGATTACCCTCCAACCGGCGTGGCATGGTAATCTATTGCCTTTGCTCGTCCAGCATAACCCCTCGTGTTTCCTTGCACTGTGTATTCCAGTGGCTAAGTAAGAGTCATTCGCATGGAGACTACAAACCAACTGCATACCGCGGTGGATTGGGCGGAGAAGTGTGGCAAGCGAATTCCTGGTTCGGAAACATAATTGCTCCATAAATCCTTTCAGCCGCAACTTCTTGACTATCTGCCTGTTTGCAGGAACAAAACCCTGGCCATATTTGTAATATGTAGATCCCTTATTAGGCTGATGATAGCCATGGGGCAGCTTCGGGATCGGCAAAGCTGCTGCTGAGGTGAGAGGGAGCTGGGTGAGGTTAGGCAGACGACGTTTATTAAGCGGGGACAGTGACTTGATGCTGATCTGCCTCAGTTAGAAGAAGCAGACAATCCCACGCTTCCGTAGATCTGATGTTGGTCACCCTGTTGTCGTTGATACCCCCGCCACTTGATGTCGTTTGCGTTGGTCATGCTATAAAACCCATGACCGTACGCGTATCTTTTCCATTGTTCAGGATTACCTCTGCTTGCAAAGCTGAGCCTTGAAGAGAATCACAGAGAATCATACAGTGACATAGGTGGCAGACTTTCCCGCGGAAGCTTGCTGGGCTGCTATCGCATGAAGTAACATGTGTGAGAATCTGAGCTAACTCTTGCATTTTGAGATCACGAGTATTCTTTGAAGACGGATATCACAGGGGTTCATTTTTGTCCCAACTTCTTCGTCTACCTGAGAAACTTAACCTCACTTCTTTGCATAATGCCTTGAGTGCAGTCAATGGCGCACACTAAGAACGTGACGGGATGACTAGGCATCTGTGGAAAATATAGAACTTGAAGGCCAGGTATTGAGCTTTGAGCCTACCTCTCTTAGAACGAAGGATTCGAGGACTCACTTGGGTCTGGCGAAAAGTCACATTTATTTAACAGTCCGCCTGCATCAATAAGGAGAACATTACCCAACCACGATCTCATGTTATTCAAGGGGATAACGCAAGTCCCCCTGAGTAAGTTTTAGGGTTATTCAGAGGTCGGTTGGAGTCAAGTACTGGCGCTTGGAAATTTTGGGAGCGTGGCTTCTAGGTAGGGGAGGATGTATAATGCAGAAGAATTGCTGTGGCTCACTGGTAGGCCTGGATACTCGGCAGGATGAGCCCTCTATCAATAGATTCAACCTTCTGTATGATCACACTGACTTTTTGGCACCGATTACCAAAGTCTAACCAATATGCTATCATACATGGTTTTCCAATCTGTATCGGTCAGGAAATTTTCCTTTGAAAATGCATAAAACCTAGGCGGTAGGTCTTGCCTCCAATCCAACCAACTACAGGTGACCTAGCTCCAGGATACCGGTGACATCAAATCGGATCCCGTTCCTCAAATGCAAATGAAAATGGTCTATTCTCGCCAGAGTCTTCGGAATCTATGCGAACAACACCTTCTCATCTTGCTTAGAATGATAGAAATTGAGGTATGTAACAAGAAAAGAGTATGAGCGAGGTGCATTGGGAAGGTCGAGCACATAATCCTAACCAGGTACTTGCAGATTCCAAAGTCACTCTTGGGGTGCCTATTCGATACAGCTGGGAGAATGCTTAACACAAATGCAGTATGGCATTAATTCGTCTGGAAAGCTTCATAAGAGTGGGAAATACAACGGAACATGTACATTCATAAGGTAAAGAAATGAAATCGAGACTTGATTAACTATTTTGAATACATGAAAGAAATTTATAGCTTGTGCGCAACAGGCCTCTCCTGCACCTCATTCCTTCGTTGACCGGCGCTAATCTTGTATACACCCTCTCGTGTTTGGATCAATGGGTCAGCCGAAGGTGCAATGCCTGTGACGCCGCCCTTTCCTGGGTTGGGGCTGAAGGCAATGAGCTGTTGGCGGGCCGCATTGCTGTCTGAGACCTTGTTAATCTCCAACAGACCGATAGGCACGAATGTCGTGCTCTTGTAAGGAATAGTAGCGTCATACAAGACGTCATCAGGATTAGCAATATGAGCTTGGATAATGAAACTGATAGGCTTGCCAGGGAACCGCTGCTTGAGGTCATCTTCAAGATAGTCACGGCCGAGCTTGCTGAGTTCTGCCTTGTCGGCAGCTGTGTTGTTGGGATACAAGTGCTCGCCGTCAGTAGGAATGAGGCGGTAGCGCACATTAGTGACCTTTCCATCCTTGTTGGTGAGGACGTGTGTGTTGGGCTCGTAGTAGGTGATGGTGCCGTAGTTGTGAGGGTTGGGCTTGGGACTGTTGATGAATCTGGCAGCTGCCTCGTTCTGGCCGAGGAATGCACCAAAGTCAACTTGGGCCTTGCCAAAGGCCGCCTGCTCCTTGGCTGTGTCGCCGCCTCGCTGTGCCGCCTCATTCAGCTCACGGCCGGTCACACCGACGTTGCCAAAGACCTTGAGGAAGGCAAGGAAGCCTTCCCCGGTGTTGGCAGCAAAGCCATTGAACGAATGGCTGATGAGATCCGTGTGTGTGTTGTCATCAATTTGGAAACGGACAGCAACGCCTTTGGGGGTAGCACCATCGTCGACGTCAGCTACCAATGGCAAGCCACCGCCAACAGAAAAGCGAGCGACTACCGGAGTGCAGGCGCGGTTAAAGTGAGCAGCAATGGAGAGGGTCTTGGCCTCCTCAGTGGGAGTGAAACGTCCCTCAACGAGCAAGCCCTTGGCGTGCGCTAAACATCCATTCAAATGTTACCAATTATACACCATGTGAGACATGAAAGGAACCTACTTGTACGGAAACCGGGATGTTTGCCAAAGATGCCCTGCATTTGGTCTACCAATTGCTTGGGAAGGCTGGCAGAGCTACGAGGTCCGCTCGTAGCGACGTCGGGGAAAGATACAATGCGTTGAGTGGCCATTATTCTTGATTTGTAAAGGAAGGGCTGGTTCTATTGATTGAAAAAAAAACAAGACCAAAAGAGTACTTTAAGGGATGCAATTAGAGGATTTTTTAATAGAGTGTGGTGAAAGGAGAGTGAGGATGACAAGTGCCATGAGGAGGCTATTTAGACTCGATGAGTATCGAGGATGTGCACTCTGTTGACCTCCTTCTACTCGTTACCTGTCTTTTTTTTTCCCGCTGAGGCCATGTCTTCTCCTCTCTCTTGCATGGGTGATAGAGGGCCGAGAACAGCATCGCCCCGGCCAAGCGAATAGCAACATGGAACTATTTGCGAGGCGGGCAACCTTGTAAGACACAATAGCGCCACGGTTCTTACTCTTATCATAAGCTCAGCCATCCATCACCGTGAGAGCGGCCGCCCTCACTTTGTACATATGCTGTGCATATGACCATTCCAGGGGTCGTGATTGGAGGAATATAACCCGACTATTGCTATCAGAGTGGACCAATCGGTTGTGACAGCGTTGAGATCAAACGGTCAGACCGTTAGGGCTGAGGATAAAAGTGTTCAGCTGAGCCACATTAGCACTTTTGCATGGTCCAACCGGGGAGGCCGGAATCACTAGTCCTTGTGTAACCCGACAAGCCCGACAAGCTATTGGCAGTCTGGTGGAGGCATTCCGACGGGCCGATCCATAGTCAGCTCACGTATGGCAAGCCACGAGCCCCGGAGACGCGCTCCATTCGTTACCCCGAGTCCAGACTCGGCAGTGAGTAAGTTTCTGAGGATGTTTGCTTCATCTTGGCAGATGAGAGGCGCACTTTGACCGCATGTCATTGTCCAATAATTTCATTGTAATTACAACGATGGTGGACGCCATACAGATATTGGCATCCCAAAATGTTCATCCGTTCATCAATACGAGTTTTGAGGCTGGCTGGTGCAGAGAAAACAGTTAGACTGTAAATTCAATAGAGACATTGACAAGCTAGGTATTCCATTGCGTTCTTTCACAGGAGGGGTTCGTAGCATATTCCGTCATCACGACGATCAGAAGGGGAGTCTCAACTGGAAGAGGATGGCTGACTCCGAGGACGCCCAATATCTATAAAGAAGGCTAGATAGCACGCAAAAGTTTCAATAATTTTCCTTCTCATCATCATCAGCATCATCAGCATCTAAGCCTCTTTCTTTTCTTCTGCAAGCAAGCAAGCAACCACTTGAACATACTTTTGTATTCATTCACAATGTCTGCCAAACTTCAAGCCCCTCCCGTCAACTTGGAGCGTATCCTGGGCGGGGAGATCCGACACAAGGTCGAAAAGGATCCCCTTACTGTCTGGGACAAGGGTGTCTTCCTCAATGAACTTCACAATCAAGGCCTTGTTTTGAAGACTGACAAGTCCGGCGCCACCAGTGGCGAGTTTGCTGATGCGACAGAGCTCAAGAAGGGCACCTACCATGGTACCAAGCTTGCCTTGACCGAACTCTATAGCATGATTGAAGAGACGTACGTAATTCAATGGCTTTTTGTTTTTTCTTCCCCCGTTTTCTTCTCTGTTCTCTG